TTATTATTATTCATTTTAACTCTTTCAGCACTGATAGAAGTTTCGAAGGACTACTACAAACAGTTAAAATCGCGAATAAATTAGATTTTTTTTCTGAACATAGTAAACACACATTGTTCGCTCAAATGATTTATTTCTTTATCAGAGAAAGAAATTAAGAAGAATTTGTTACTAGTTTTATTGATTTGATATCTGCAAGCAATAATTAAAGACGTTTCTGGGAGTAGTACATTTTTCCATTTGTAAAGTATAATATTTCACAGCGAATAAACATATGTTTCCCACCCACCACAAAAATATGTTTCCCACCCACCACAAAAAAGAAAGAAATATAGTTTCTGTTATTTATATAACGTTTGGTTTGGCGATATTTTATTTTATACCTGGGTATAAAAAATATTAATCATTTTGTTACAATGTCCATTGTATATCCTGACATCGGATATATACTGTATATCGAATTGTATAGCTCCTCTTTAATGTATTGAATAGATGTATAGAAAGTAATTTAATGCCACTGTTGCATTCAGTTAAGATAACTAAAACTTATATGTTTTTTTCTGAGTTTAAATAAAAATATGAGCAGTTAAGTTTCATTACTCTTCATATTTGATAATTGGTATTAAAGCGAGGGAGTATATGATTTGGTTTACGGTGAACAGACAGACGGACACATGTCATATTGCCGGTTAAAATAGTAAAGAATCACTGTGGAATTTACATGTACTTTTATTAAAGTCAATATCTCGGATATTAAATATATTTTTATCGTTTAAAATAAATAATTCAATAAATCATTGACACAGAATCATAACCAGAATCATTAACATCTATATTATCATATTATATTTTACCTATAGATAATGGTATCCTTCAAGAAACCATCTGAAATATTTCTTGAAAACTTGGAACTCAAAATCAAAAATGACCACTTACAGCGTATTGAGGAAAGGCAGGAGAGGCACCCATCTTTATTTCAAAACGAAGAGCAACCGGAAAAGAAACTCCAAAACATGGTAACATATTATGATTTAAAATCTTCAATCCCATTCCTCCAGATAAGCGATAACAGATTTTTTATGTATTTTTTTTTAAGAAAATTTTTTGAGAGTTTAAGAAATACATAAATATTAACAATCCATGTATCGATTAAATTTCTATTCCAGCATCATATTTTTTAACCCGTTTTTTAACAGACTGAGGAACAGTTTGTCATATTTTAAAAACTATATGAAATTGTTGTCCATATGAGTATTTTTTCTTTTTACTCATTGAAAACGAAACATGAGTTAATCAAATATATATTCTGTTTAATTTTGTTTCCTGTTTTCACTGGTACTATTTCAAATAATTCTTTTGATGATTATGCGTTTAATGACTGTTTGACTGACAACTATCTTTATCATACCGGAAATCTTCTTTTTTGTAAGACCTAGTTACCATAGAGAACTACAGTTTTTTTTATTCTGTTGCATTCACAGAAGCAGACGACACAACACAGATCGAAGATTGTCCTGAAATTTCTCCTTCTCTGTCCATTTATTATTGGTGCAATAACGATATTGGCAGTTATACTTATAAACCAGGAAAGGTAAATACAAGTACTGTCTAGGACACAATGTTACAGTAAATTCGCTTATAACGATATACCGCTTATAATAACAGACCGCTTATAACGATATACTGCTTATATCGATATACCGATTATAACGATATACCGCTTATAACGATATACCGCATATAACGATGTTGTTGTCGCGGTCCCGACTCTTGTTTTTATTTAAGTTGGTTACCTCTTGGTTATAACTATGTCCGGATATAACGATAAAAATTCGGCGGTCCCCTTAATATTGTTATAAACAGATTATTTTATTTTCTTTAAATATTTATGACGAAAACATCACGTCTTTCTTTTTCTTCATTCAGAAAACAATATATTTGCTTATTATTAGACAAAAGCATCATGCATTTATGCAAACAAATATTATATTCGCATTTTTCTTATTTTGTCGGATTATATCATGGGTTTATGAGACACCGAAATGAAAATGGCATATGCAAGGTTCATACTCTCCAGCATTACTAATGGAGGAAAAGATCAGATGTTCCGCCTTGCAATAATGACGTGAGACCCTTTTAGAAAAAATAATTGATGACATCGATGGACGTAGGATTATGTTATAGTATATTCATATTTTTATTTTACGCATTATCTTGCAAAGTATATTCATGCATTTAATGAAAAACTTAGAGCTATAATCCCTTTTACTAGTCTCATGGAATTCTCCTACACGTTTTCCTTTCATATGTCTATGATGCTTTCAGAATTCTTAAGACAATTGATTCGGATGATCGACCAGAAACGAAAACCCGATACGAGTTACTGCACCAAATAGGTATTGTATTAAATATCATTTATATATAAATCGCTTCTGTGTAAATTGATTTGCTTGGTTCGTACCATATCTTCCTAATACAATCAGTCAACAAATTTGTACGGTACAATCTCTGCAACAGCCTTTGGGGGAGACAAAGATTTTGGTTGTTGCTGTGTGGTGTTGCTTTTGTGAGTTTAAACCTATTGTTGATTATGGGAAGAACTGAACATGTTGTTATGAAGAGATAATTGCTCTTCGGAGGGCCGCTCTATATAGGTTGCACTGTAATGTCATAACATTTCAGAGCATGCTCTTGATGATAAATTTTTATATGATTAGAATTCAACAAAATATAATTGCTACCATATTTTAAGTGGTTTATTTCCAAAGAAATTCATTAGACTACATGTATTATAATTATCATTTTCAGCATCTGAAGAGACATTTCAGGACTGCAAAAGCTCACAGTTGAAACAGTCCTTTCCTGATTTAGATTACGCACTATTGGGCTACAACATATTAAAAGGATTTCCACTCGCTGTCGGTCATGACCCAGGCTTTACGTATCCCATATTTAAAGCAGATTATTCCGCCGGAAAGCAAACAGCCGACTGTCGATATTCGGTTCCAAATGGACTTGTCGTCATTCCAGACGTGTCATGTATAACGTCCTTTTCCTCTGCAGTTGTACAAACAAAATATGAATTCTCAAGGTCTTTGTCCGCTTATGCAAGCGTCAGTGGTCAGGCTTGGGGCGCCCGTTTTTCTGCAAGTGGGGGTTATAAGAAGTCTTCCGCAGAAATATCTTCAGGTGAATCCGTCTTCATTCTGTCAACAGCAAACTGTAACTATTATTTCAGCAAGCTCAAGCCTGAAATGGCCCCTCAGTTTGACGATGCTTTCATTCGATGGATTCACAAGCTAGATTATTCTAAATTTAACATGGAAATATATTTCAAATTCTTTGAAACATATGGTACACACTTTGCAAAAGATGTTACCTTTGGAGCAAGATATACCTTTGAGCACAGGATGAAGTCCGAGTATTACGAGAAGGAGAGAACGAATAGTGTAGATGTAAAGGTTGCAGCAAGTTATTCGTCTTTTCTACACAATGTCAATGTTCAGGGAGGATTACATACATTACAAAGAGACAAAATGGCACAGTTCCGTGAGAATGTCGAAACCAAAACTATAACAGTTGGCGCTGCCCCGCCCGAAAACGGAAGTGCATTATCCTGGGCATCTGTAGTAAAGTCAAGCCCTGTACCAACGTCGTATAAACTGATGTCAATTGAGGAACTTTTCACTGACACGTTCATGGCTTCTATCAGTATTGACTACAGGCAGATCTACAAGAAGATTAAGCAGTACAAGATGGAATATTGCCTATATCTCCAGAAGAGAGGTGAAGTAGAATCATGCGAAGATCTTGTAGCTGGTACTGAATTACGTAATACAAGAATTTTAGGACACTACAAGGAAAGGGCGGTATCTTCCGTATCAGACTGTATTGAAGTTTGTCTTCAGGAGATCCAGTGCGAAGCTGTGTCATTTTGTACGACCTGTTCAAAAAGAGATAATCACTACAAAACGTGTTATTTGATTAAGAATAAAGGGAAACGACTAGCTGTTAGCAAATCAGATAATCCAAACGCTGTGTGGCAAAGCAATGTATTCCCAGGGAAGATACGCTCGCAGCTTCATATCAGCAGAACAAGTATTAATGGTGTGCCACGTGGTGTTGAAAATGAAGAGGATAAGACAGCAGACTTACAGAGATGTAAAGAATTATGTATTGAGGACGCACACTGTTCTGCCTACAGCTACACTCACTCTGATGATAAAGTAACACGATGTCAAATGTATAGTACAGACCTGATAAATAGTCTCCAAACTGAAGATTACACAGATACCTTCTTTATTTCTGCACGTACCGACTTAAAAACAACAACGGCGTCCACAACTTTGCCAAATGACTCAACTTTCATACAAATTGGTTAGCTCTTTTTTCCATTTTTACGCCCCTACTACTTTTGGTTTGGGGCATATGGACTTTCTTTTATCCGTCCGCATCGATGTTCAGCTGTCACGCAATCACTCTGTCCGCTCAAAAGTGACGCTAGGGCTTCGTTGAAGACAGCCGTACCCAATTAACTTATTTACAAAAATAAATGTTTTCTTGTGTTTGCATGACACATTGTTTTCCACAAAATCAAATACATGTTTATTAGTAAATTTTAATTAATTAAAAGAAAATGAAATAATATTCTGGTATATATATTTGTGATTTTGTTTTCCATTTCACACTTTAATATTGTTATTAGCAATTGATATTATTATATGTATCCAGCTCATGTTGTTAAAAAAAATATTTTCTGTGACTCAAATATTTAAAGCGTTGCAACTGTTTTCACTCAAATCGGACTAAGAATCACACAAAAATCAGTTTATTTCTGCGAATATCTCTTTGTTATTCTTTGAAGGTTTTTCTGTTTAAAGTGCTACACTTGATTGAGCAGTGTAAGAATCTTAAATTTAATCTTTTTAGACTTTTTGACCTCAATGGAGTTTCTTTAAGATGTTGTAGTGTTGTTAATATTTAAAGATGTTTTTTATTTATTGTGTTTATCACTTTGCAAATACAAATATTTATTACACATATGTCTTTTTTTTTCATTCAAATAAATTTTAGTCTACAATGTATATTATTTATTATAGAATAATAAACGATTTAATGTTCATAAACAGTTCAATGGTATACGTTCATCAACGATTTTACAGACAAGGCCGCTTTCAATGTCGCAACATCTATTGTTTCCCATGCGTAAAAGGTCAAGGTCCGAGTTTTATGAAGCATTAAAAACCCGTTGTCAGAGAAACGACCTTTGACCTTGTAAGCATCTATCCAAACAAATGGCGCGATTGCGTCCGTGGTTAATGTGACAGTAAACACGTTGTTAGTCGTCGTAGCCATTACATCAGAAATCTGAAGAAGAAGAAAATGTTGCACGCGAATAAGGCTGATCTTTTATAACCTTACGTTATATTTAAAATTGTAACTTAAATTGAATTTTAAAGTTAATACCAATAATTTGAGATGCCCATAATCTTAAGCAGAAGTTAAAGGCAACAAGAAAACAATTGCTGGTCCAATAACATACACAATAACTCAAACTATTCAATGTGCTCTGAGATAACAGACAGCATACATACGAAATTCGTACATTAAAGTTACTGATGAATGTAGAATTTCAAACTGTTTAGAGCAAATTAATTCTTACCTGAATTGTAGCGTTTGTAAGTCCCTCGGCGTCGGTGAACTGTGAAAGCGGTAAAAAGTTGGTCGGTCCCGATACAGGGTCACCAAGATGAAAGAAAAGAAAGCACCGTTTACTTCTCACACAGCCAGCAGTGGAGATCATATCAGAAATGTCGTGACGAAATACTGATTGAGCTGTGTTAATTAGCTGAAACAGTAACTCAATATTTTATCAACTTTCACCGCTTCCCGAAAATTTTAAAATGTAAGAAAACATGGGCTTTTCCACGCCCGGCAAACTGTCGCTCCACTTCAAAATTGTGGTGTACGGTAAAACGAGCGAACGGCATTTCCGAGAAAGAGCGGAAGGCCGATTTAAACATTTTGTCTTGTTATTCATTGAAGTTATATTTTTCGAAAAACGGAAAATGTAGTTCCGTGTAGGATTGATTTAGGCTTCCAATTATCTAATCTGTTACAAAAAGAAAATTATATTAAGCCCGGGAGAACTTTTCTCCCTGACGTAGCGAACGACGATTTGTAGAGTATGACATTTCCCAACCATGAAAATGCAATACCCTTCAGATTTCTTGAAAAAGTGTATTAGTAAAATGTCAACCCGTAAGAAGAACTTGTCCTTCGTGCAACATAAATTACTCCCGAAGGATTTCTTAAATTTGTAAATCGATATATTACGAAAGTAGTGGAGCCAAAGGGCAAGAGATGGAGCAAAAGGTTCGATGTTGAGCGCAAGGCGATTTTAATTTGACGTATTAGGAGGAGCGTAGTCTATGATTTTTATATATAAAAGCTATAGAAGTTAAAATAGACATGATCAAGTGTTGAGACCGAGATATATATTTACCTTTTTAAGACAACTAATAAAATGTGATATCCATTCAACAACTATAGCGTAATAAATATAATCGCGAAGGTTTCACCCATAGCTGCGCTATGTAGATTCCATTATTTATGTTCCAAATTTGGATGAATTTGTAAGGTGGGGAATCGCTATGAAAATTGTTGACAAAGTGTCAGTCGTTATAAGGATATAACACGTGTTTCAGTTATGTTTCAAGATACTTCCTCCCTTATTTAGCATTGTTGTTTAGTTTATTATTTTCCTCCCTATATTACGGGTTGATATTTTACTAATACACATATTCAAGAAATCCGAAGGGTATTGCATTTTTATGGTTGGGAAGTTCAATACTCTACAAATCGTCGTTCGCTTCGTCTGGGAAAAAAGTTCTCCCGGGATTAATATAATTTTCTTTTTGTAACAGATTGGATAATTGGAAGCCTAAATCAATCCTACACGGAACTACATTTTCCGTTTTTCGCATGAAGTTCATTATACATGATGTAGTTCTATTAACCCTAAGATTGCTAGTGGTAACAGATTCTTTTTTAAGACAAATATTAGCCGACACATCCGTCCCATCTGATCATGATCTGTACTGTTCGCTTTTCAGTCAGTAAATATTTTGAAAATTTCTTTATACAATTTAATGTTTTGTCCACATTGAAAGATAGACAAGTCTATATAAGATACCGTATTTAGCATGGTAAGAGTTAAATAAAACACAGTTACTTCTTTATTATACTGTTAAAAAGGATAATTCCTTATACTTACTGTAAACGGTATTTTCCATGAATACAACATCTGAAATCTGTCCCAGGAGTACATTTCAATGTACAAACTTCCGCTAAAATCGTCCTTATTGTATAGGTTAATCTGATTGGATGCTGAAACATGATTATCATCCCACGTGGTCGTGTCATATAGATTGAAAGGACGCGGGTTGTATTTAGCTTGGAACTGAAGAGTATGGTGTACAGGATGACGTACTTCCTTTACTGATAATTCATCAATGACAATGAATACATTGACGTCATTTCCGTCTTTGTATGGTGAGATTAGAGTTGGTGCAAAGAAGTCTTTGGCAAAGTAATGAAGCATCTTCCATTTCCCGCCATATTCTACAGGTGTCATAAACAGTGCATGTATTTACATAATAATTATATATATGTCACAATGTGTAATGTATATAACTTTCGCGATACTTAACATGGAACTACATTAAATGCGTGCAGTTTGTGCCATATTGAAAAATACAATCCTGCAATATAATAAATATATATTCAGACATATTTACATGTATAATCATTAACAAATCAATAGCTTAGGGCTCAAACTATTCACGAGAATGTGTATTACATGTACCTATAGAAGCCCAAGTTGGTGCTTGCCATATGTCTGCCAACATCCAATACAGTGCTCCCATAGTATTACCTTGACCTTTATTGTCCAGCTGGTTTTGCCAACGACGATAATGTTCCGTCTGAACTTTCATTCCAACCGCATGATCTATCTGATATGGAAAACGTATGTATTCTAAATTGTCATTGGATGTGACAATCAAATCTTTACTTTTAATCTTATTAAAGTCTATACCAAGGTATGTGTTTCCTCACACTGTGTATTAAAACCACGTCTATCAATAATGTAAATTCTTCAACACTGTTTATACAGATATAATTTAAAACTTTTATTTAAACTTTAAGAGACGACTATAATCTGGACAATGAAGGCTATATGATTGTGATGGCTTTGTTCTATACTTCATACTACATAAACATGCCGTCACATGACTAAACACGGTATTACCGGTGCCCGTGAGATGTCAGATTGCTACAGAGATGACAGAAATCAAAATTTAGTTTTTAACACTGGTAGGTTATAAACTTTATCTTGTCAACACTGGACCCGGTACAAATATGGACTAACGCTAATTAAATGGATCACCTGTGTGATGTATATAAGGTCCTTGAAACGTTGTTTTCGGTCCCGGTTGTTTGGTAATCTAACATACTGTATAGCCTCGGCCATCATCTCAACGTTGCCTGAAATTTTTCAAGGTACCGTATAGTTCCGGTCATCCGTATATCAATTAAAGTTACCGTATAGTCTCGGTCATCCGTATATTAATTCAAAGTACCGTATAGTTTCGGTCACTCGTATATTAATTAAAGGTACTGAATAGCATCAGTTAAATCATATATCAGTTCAAGATAATTGTAATAACTTCACCCTAATGTTTACGTAAATAGGAATTTACAAAAAATAAAGAATTGGGCGTCATTTCAACGTTTCTTGATACGTATTTATATATCAAGTCAAGATAATTAAAAGCTGATGTTGTTATAATTATATTACGTTGAATGATACTTAAAAAAGTAAACAAGTGAACATTTTTTAACCATAAAGAAAGGGGGAACCAGAATAAACGGAAGCAGTGTATAAAATACCGAATGGCAGTTTTAAAACGGAAAATGTAAAATGAACGATTATTTTAAACTATCTAACGGTAAAAGAAAATCGAGCTAGCTTTGAGGCTTTGTCTTTTTCATATCAGCGAGCTCGACGAGCTTGCCCGAAAGGCCTGCTCGCAAAGCGAGCTTTACGGTAACGCGAGTACCTGCTAAGTGATGGTTTTGAAAACTTTCGTCAGAAGTACCGAATTTTCAACTTTTCGAATTACAAGATAACGATAAAAACCGATGTACTCTGATTGAAAACGGAAGCGTAGACTGGTGTCCTGCGCACTTATATAGGAACCTTAAGGGGGCAGGGGACATATTCGAATGATGGCCCCGGTCAATTTTTTTAATAACTCAGACATGGTGTTTTGGAGGTACCGATAACTTCTGATATTTCTCTGTCATTGTAATTCTTTCTTGTTTGTGTGTAGGAAATGAGCAGTATTTTTGGGTTTTTATCCGAAACTAAGCATTTTGGTAGCTCTGTATGTATTTCTGACTCTCCGAATGGAGGTGAAAAAGTCAAAAATCAAGCTTTGGCAGTTGGCGCCAAACAAGTAAGAAATTTCAGATAATTTTTGTGAAAAATCTAAACGTATGACAGATACTTTATTGGTCATTTCTGAAAATGCCAGAGCTTGCACTGTGTGTTACTGATATTTTTAAAGGAATCGGGCGGATTCTGGAGTATGCTGCACCTTCATGAAGATTGCCCATATTGGTATATTTTAGGTGTGATTTTGGCTGGGTGGGGGTAAATATAAATTGCTGTCAGATATTTTTTGAAGGAGCAATGCATGCAAACTATTATTTTCTTCAATGTATGTCATATATCATTGAATAATGTTATGCAACTGGTTATCTGCCTGTGAAACAGATTTTGAAATATTTGGAATTGTGTTTCTGGTCACACTGAAATACAAAAAATTTCATTTTTAGGTCCCCTGCCCCCATAAAGAAAGGGGGAACCAGAATAAACGGAAGCAGTGTATAAAATACCAAATGACAGTTTTAAAACGGAAAATGTAAAATGAACGATTATTTAAACTATTTTACGGTAAAAGAAAATCGAGTTCGCTTTGAGGCTTTGCCTTTTTCATATTATTTTTCTTAGATTTTTATAAGGAAAAACTTTTGAATTTTCATTTCGCCAATTAAAGATTTTGACGCTTTGATATACTAATGCTTACCAAATGGATGGTGGTTCCTGTAATCGTTCAGATCAGACCAGTAGTCCATGTCGTCTGCGCCAAACACTGATTCAAGCGTCTCGTAACTAGGAAACGATTGAAGGCCAAACTCGGAGGACATTCTAGGAATGCGGTACTGACTCGGATCGAAGAATGGAACAAGATAATTATATTCATGGACTGAAAATACCAGCAAAAGATAACAGCCTTCACAACTCACATTACCTTACCATTTATTTATTTATTTTTTATTTTTTTTTATATTTAAAAAAGTGTATTAATTACGGAAAGTACGTGAGATGCTTTTGAAATGAGAACGCATTTTTTAAAAGTTGTACGTGTCGCCTACTGCAATCCACTTGGGCGACCACACCTGGAGATTGTTAGAAACTATCTTCTTTGAAACGAATGACTTTTCTGTGAATATCTCTACTGTGCTAGAGGCAACGCACGTACAAGGATGGTATATTAATAAAACATTATGTACATGGAGAAGATTTATATATTAAGTATGTAGATGTATATGTAAAAAGTATTTTATTTGTAACGACTGAAACCACTGGACTCAAACCGACTCTATGTAAGAACACAGTCGTTTACTATGTTCGTAGTACACGAATACTAGAAATCCATAGACCTTGTCTACATTACTCAACCTACTATCGCCATAATATGTACTCCACGGTTGCTTAGCAACCCATCCTTCAAGTTGAGATTCTACACCATTTGACGGGCTGGATGACAGGAACGGGCGACTTGTATCTTCCTGGCTCACAATGGCGTACACAGTGTCTTTATATAGCTGTTATATATCAAAATACAAACTTATACTGTATTAGTAAGAATAAACAACATACAAGATGAATAAAAGAAATAAATGTGCCAAAGCAAGAAAAAGAAAATGAGCTTCGTTTATCACGAAGAAACTATCCTGCAAAGTATATTTTATTAACCTGAAGTAATGGTCTGTTCTTTTACTACAGCATCAATACTGACAAATTGAATGTTTTCAATGATTCCCAAATAGAATATTATTTTTGAAGATTTTGTCAGTCCTTAATATTTAAATGGAACAACGATAATAGCGAATATCTATCTATAATTGATGTTGACCTAATGTGTTTGTGAAGGCTATTCAAATCTTTGCATCCAATTAAAGTTTTTGCCCTGAACTAACATAGTTACATCTGTATCCCACAAAAATGATATTTTTACCTTCAGATAGTCGTTTTTGTATCTGGTAAAGTTGACGTCAGTACCATACCAGTCCTGTCTCAAAGCCTTCTCGTTCTCGTTATTACCACTGAGAGCGATAAGTGACGGATGATGTTTCAATCTGCGTACCTTTTATAAACAGTTGTCAATTATATAAAGGCAATCACTCAACATAGTTTTACATAGACATCAACCCAGTACAGGAAGTGTACAAAGACCGTGTCCAATTTGGTGCTCAAAAGAAATACAATCTATTCAAAAGAAACTCTACATTTATGTGTTAGGCGATACCACCCATGTCAATATGTCAAGTTCCTTATAAAGAAAATTTGTACACGCAAATTATATTTTTATGTATGTATATGTAGTACTAAAATGAAGCACTCCAAAATTAATATATATATAATATGCTATCACCTAAGGTAGTAATTACGATAAGGCCTGAAAATCATTAACACCTCGCAATTCCTTAGATCATAAAAGAAAAAAATCCATAATAAAACAGAATAATTTTACCTGGTACCTAACCTCGGCACTAACGGAAGACAGGAACTGGTCATCAGTTGGATACATAGCACAAGCAAACATAAAGTCCTGCCATATCATAATTCCTAGCTCATCTGCTATGTCATAGAACATGTCAAACTCATATATCTGAAGACAGAAAAAAATATAAATGATGATTAATGTAATGATTATCTATTGTTCTTCAAGAGGTTATTTTTTGGAGTCCATGAAAAAATCAGTTTTTTTCATCAAATTTCAGCTAAGGCATGCACCATAAATATATTGTTGCTTGTCGTGAGCACGAACAATATTTCTAAATGTCGACGGATGGGACACAAACCTGCTTGAACTTTTTTAAAATAATAATAAGATAGACTAATTTATAAACTAAGTATAAAAGTTTTGGAAAAGGATATTGGCTTTATCTTTGAAATTTTATAAAATTATTTTTTTTCGTCATGTACAGCTAAACCAGTGTTATGAGTAAAGAAAACCTATACAAATAAAGGCCACATATGATCATTGATGAATTTATCTTGTCTAAGATATTTTACAGTGAAAATGTTTAGAGATAGGTACTTGACGTGTGAATAAACATAATTTTATGTAGCCCGTTGACTATTCCTTGGCTTATCTTTATAAACAGGTTTGACTGTAAATGTCAATGACTGTAAAAGTACAGACTAACCCCTCCTCCCCAGACCCTCATTGTGTTCATGTGGACGTCGGCGGCAGATTTCAGGTAGTTGTACACACGATCTCTGGTGACACGATCCAGGAAAGCATCTGCAGGTATCCAGTTTGAGCCCTTCAGAAAAATCGCTTGGCCATTTATACGGAAATAAAAAGTGCGACCTGATATATAAAGAATAAGTTTGCTATGGAATGGTATTTTATGACAATTTCAAACAATTTTTATGAAATGCATATGTACACAACTGCTTTGTGGGTTCGAAATTCCCGAGGGACTTAAGATTCTTTCATATGAGAAAGCTATCCAGCTATGTTACGGAGGAACGTAGCTGGTTCTGCTTATGCCTGAAATGATGCATGGAAGGGCACCTGGGGTCTTCCTCCACCAGTAAGCCTGGAACTCGGCCACATGACAATTAATGTTGTAGGGCATATATCAGCTATATATGTAAACATCTAATTTCTCTTGACATTATGTTATGTGAAAAGCCGTGCTAGATTTTCCCAGCTTCGATTTTCTAAGTTACTAAACAACAACAACAACAACAACAACACGGAACAACAACCTGATAAAAATCGGACATTTTGAAGAAAACAATCTACATGTAGGGACCTTTTCTTTACTATGTGTTCATTCTTGCAATCTATTCAAAATCAAGGAGTGTGATTGCTTTACGTATAAGCTGAATTAACGAAACTTTCTTGCCACTGGTAACGTTATTGCCCCAATCAGAAAATGAGAATTTGAAATATAACTTTTTTTCTGATAAAAACATGTTTTGTATGCAGGCTGTCCTGTTTTGCATAGATTTATATATATATTAAGCTGTTAATTTTTGGCGTTTGTAACAGTTGAAAGAAAGTGATCTGATACGCTCTATACATTATAGTATGTGATTTTTTTTAAATATTAATTGAACTTGAAATGTTGAAATAGAATTTGTAATATAATTTTTCAGACTTGAAAATGAAACACCGAAAACAGGGCACAAACCTAATGACTTGTTAACAGAAACGTAGTCCTGCACAATCTCTACAGTTCTAAACCCTATCCGGATCTTCTTGTTGTTCATCGTTCCAAATGTATCAGTAAAAAATACGAACAAATCATACAGGTTCTGTTCTCCATAACCATTTGGCCACCATTCCCGGATCATTTCAGACTAAAATGAATAAAACACCCAGCTTTTGATAAATACCACCTAAATATAATGTTCATATAAATGACATTTTTGTCACTTAGTGAGGTATTTATGAAGTCACAAATTCGTACTTGACCTAGCTTTGTTCAAGTCTGTAATGGTACATTTCATCCATCAAATATTTTGCGCAAAATTTGACAATACCTATCAATTCCATTGCTCTGTGGCGAAAGGGTAGGGAAGTAGAATTGCACCTTGAGTCCGATAGCAGCATGATGCAGAAAAAAATAATATTACATTTTAATGAAAGTATAACATGCTTTTAAAACTAAATCTAAAACTAACCTAAACTGAATCAAGAGCATATTATATGGAATATAATTTATGGTAAAGAGCTATTTTATGAAGCTATTATGAAGAACTATCCTATTCTTCATCTTGAAATGTCTGTTTCTGATTTTATTTTTCGTAAGAATATATTATAAAACCTTCGGAATGCTGATGTTCATAGAAACCATGTTTTTGTCAGAGGTCAAGGTCACCGGCGTTGTTTGAGAAACTGACGTGTTTGCTAGCTTGACCTCCATGTGGCCGTTGACCCTTGCTGCAAGGAAAACGTCTGTAAATATGTCAACCTTCAGTAACCATGACCCATCTTTGTCTAAAAATAACAAGAAAATATAGAAAATTATGAAACTATTGACAAATCTTAAAATTATAAATTTATAAAATTAATTTAAAAAAATGCTAATTTGTGAAAATTTTAAGCATGTAAAACTAAACTTAATGAAAAATGACTAAACATTTTCGTTACTACTTTCATAGCATAAAGGTAATGTTTTTCTTCTTTTGGCTATTCATCCTATTCAATGATTTAATAGTCTTAATCAATGTCATATTGTGGTGCCATTATATGCCGCAACGACGCCAAATGTGTCAAACTATTTTGCCGTTAAATGTCGCAATGATGACGTTAAATGTCGCAATTTCTAAATTAATGTTGAACATTTAGTTGTATTATGTCACTATCAACGTTATGAAAGTGATCTGAGGAATAGCTATCTATCAGATAAGAAAGGATTTGCTGCAATGTAGAAATATTTGGATAATATTGAAGTCATCTTAGTCGATATTAAAAGATGACGATCATAATTTGTGCCAAGAAGCCCTCTATGATAAAACACATATGTATACGACACCAGGACCAATTTATTAAATCGTCGTGTTTCCCCCCAAAAGTCGAGGACTCGATAAACTGGCCTATTGTCTTGTATTCACCTTTCGCCTTTTTAGGCTAAAACACGACACATATAGGGCGCCGGTACGAAGATTTCTGCCCGCCGAGACGATCATTCTACAAAAGCAGAACACGTGTCTTCGCCTATTAAACTATTTTGTTATTTCGGCTAAATTGCAAGTAGGATAGGTCGAATATTATGGTGGCTGCATGATTTCGTGTTCTCGCCCCTCAAAAGTCGAAGGCAAAGAAGGGACGAAGATACCATAATATGCTCACTTATCGAGTCTTCGCCTTCGATTTGAAGGCGCCGACACGGAAACACCATACATTTTAGTCGAAATAACGATTTTTTAATTGGCCAATTTATCGAGTCTTCGTGCCGTCGTGTCTTCAGACACGGAATTGAACAATGTTTCGACGTGTCTTGAATACCTTCCGGTAGACATGCGCAAAACATTTACGCATATGCTGACACATAGTGGGAATATAGACTATTTCGCGAAATGGACTCTTCGCCTACTAAACGAATAATCAAATCCACATTTATGACCAAGATATTTTAAATATATTCATCGATACAGTATGATAATTATTTACGTGATATTTTTCTTCTACCGGAAGAGAGAAACATGTCGAAATGAAACATTGTTTAATATCATGTCTTCAACTTTCGGCAAAGACACGAAGACTCGACAAATTGGTCAGTTATCATGTCCTTGCCTTTCGCCCTTTGAGATATAGACACGACGACACGACGACACAACAAATGTAAAGCGATCTCGTATCATCGCCTTAGACTTTTGAGGAGCGGAGACACGAAATGGCAGAAATCAGCCACCATAGTATATAGAAATTAAATGCGTACTTTAAAAAAATTGCCCCCAGGTTAATATACGCAACAAAGTGTAAAATATATTATCTCCCATATAAACCGCATTTAAAACGTTTTGAAACGTGCATGTTTCGCAAAATGAAATGATTCTCTTATATACAAAGAAAGAAAAAACTGTAAACTCAAAATTTTCCAAGAAATTACATATGATCTTTTTAAAATTTCATAGCGAACTTAAAATGACGAAAACAGATACCCGCTTGGTTTGCATTACTCTTGTTGTATATAAACTAACTTAAGACATATCTGAGAAAATTAGCCTCCTTATCGATTACAATAAGGGAATGGCATATTTTTGGTCGGCCCTTTAATAAAGGGCGGACAGCATTTTGTCCCTTTCTCGTAAGAGAAGGGGAATCCTGTGATGCGTGTTTGTGGTCGCACGGTCACTTTCCATACAACATGTCCTCGATGCATGTATGTGGTCGCATGGTCGAATATCTCTACTATAAAATTACTTTCAAAAGTATGTTAGCATAAAAACATCTGGTGCAAAATCTTATGTTTTTAAAAGCCTAATTTGATCTTTTTGTTTAGGAATTTTCAAAACTTAATAAGGCATTTTTTCACATTTAATTAGTAGCTATACAAACCTAACTAGCACCTTTTTGCTTATGTTTTAGGAGTTTTAAAAACTTATTTAGGACTTTTTCACATTTACTAACCTTATTAGGACTTTTTTTCTGGTTAGCAGTTTTAAAAACTATAAAAGACTTTAAACTTTTAAATAATTGTAATAAAAGCTTTACTCCTTGATAGGACCTTATCTGAACTTTGTTATGTCCAGTTACAACTAAATAGGACTTTATATTCATAATTAGGAGAAATAAATAAACCTAATTACAACTTTGTAACTCTTAGTAAGACTTATTAAGAGATATTAAAACTATTATTAGGAGTTGGGAAATATCTAATCATAAATAGGAGCTCCAAATAGAAAAAAAACCTAAATGTAAAATAAAACGTGACTTCTAATTAGGTTCTTATACAAAGAACAATTAAAAACTATATTTCTCTCAATAAGTTTTTAAAACTTACATCCTTGTAACTCAATTTTTTATGGTTTTATATCATAAATATAATGCTCAAATGAAGATATATCAATATTGTATGTTCCAAAAAGCATTATTTGTAAACATATTTCCGAATTCAAATTTCATGTTAATAAAGGCAGGTAATAAAAATTTTATTTTCTATAAAGTCTAAGTCATTTTTTTTTCAATAAGAAAAGAATGCATATATATTATAATGATTACATATAATGTGGACAAATATTTGCAGAACATATTTTACATATTTTTTTGCTGTTTCAAAATTGTTTTAGGATTATAATTATATACATATATAAAATTTCACTTAACTTAATTACAACATACAAGATATTTAATTATTAGACATTAAAACGTCACACCAAAACAGTAACGTCATATAGCGACTTTCCAGCTTTACTAGTGGAGGAAAACCTCTGGTGCCCCTCCGTGTACGAGCGGGAACCTGAGTAGAACTACCGGCGTTCCGTAAGCTAGCTGGACATGAAAGTCCTTAGCGGGATTCGAACCCACATCGTTGAGGAGCATGTAGATGGACACTAGTCTAGTTATTACCATGCATAAGTACACAAAGCAATATACTTAAAAGATGCACCTAACATGTTGCGTAGAGTTGCATCAATGTTTATTTGTTAACATTTCTGTTGCCAACAAAAATAACATTTAAAGTGAATTGGTCTTTTGCGGAAAGTATGCAACACCATACATATTCATGTTGATAGCATAATGTATCATGTCTGATAACAAACTATGACAGAATTATATGTGGATGTTGATAATAAGATGTTCCAGAACAAAATATTAGTTATTTATCATATAAATGTCATATTAAATCATGTAGAAATATATGAACCTGTTATGTTCAAGAAATATTTTGTAAGAATACGTTTCTATTATATTTTTTTTTATCAATATTTGAATTTATTTTTGAAAATGTGCCAATTGTAGACCAATCCACTTTAAAAAGCATTTTTCATCTTGAGATAGCAGATAGATGGAATATTACTTTATGTATCAAAGTAACTAAATATATACAAAAAATTGCTTGCTAACTTTAATTTAGTAATGAATATAGATCATGAATATACATGTACATCTTTCAGGGAAAATTATGCGACATTTTATAAAGCGGTGGTTGCGACATTTAGTGGCAATGGGTGCGACATTTAGCGTTGTCGCGACATATAACGGCGCCACATATATAAATAACATAATATATTTTAATGTAAAACCTCTGCAGTGCGACCCTCTGTACATCAATTCTTCTATACAACAATGGTACAAATTCTTTCCGAAATAATGCTTCACAAACAGTTTAACCTCTTCAAAGCAATACCTCTCAGAAACGACAAAAAATCTTTGAGTTCCGAAGGGTATTGCAATGTACAGGTTTTACTGTACTTCTCTCTGTGATATATAATTATGTAAATTAAGTGTATAAACGCATTTGGATGGTACAATTACAAGTAGTTCGTATGACTATTCTATACATCATACTCACTTTTGGTGGTTTCCGATGTAATATCCCTTATAACTAGACTATTGTAACCCTGAATGTAAATGTCTCTCCTGTGAAGAAAAAAAATTCTATTTCACCACTAGAATATTATATCTGGATATAATAAGTTTATTGATATTTGTAATACATTATTTAATTATTTATTTATTTATTTATTTATTCCATCGTATGATTCTTTTTTATTTACAAAAGTCAGACTACAACTAATATATCAACATTTCTGGAAAGGGTACATCCTTTGAGGACAATGGAAACAAATTACAAAATGTTTAAAACTACAAACTTGGTTTCAAATCATCCTTTTAATTTTCGAAAATAGAAAAATTAAATTTGAGCATTCGTTTTCAATATATTTATATAAATTATGATCCATTACCTTTGGTCAAGGAAAGCACGCTCATCGTGCAAAATAAACCAGTTTGTAACTTACAGTCGTATTTTACATAAATTAGATTTGATATTTTTATGTCATTATAATTTTAGCAATATACTCGTATAGAGAAGGAAAAAGGGTATAAAGCAAGTACCAGATTCCTTGTGTTGGAAAGGATGGTCCCCAATCCCAGCTGAACGAGCACTGAGTTTTCCGAATAAGATTTGCCCCGCATTCACCGTGATATTCTGGAGGTACACACAATGGGAAGATTGGATATTCTCTTTTCTTTGCTTGTTCCTCCACATATTTTGGCGCAGACCGAAACTTTACAGCAATGCTATTTGCTCCAGCCTAAAACAATACAAGCAAATCCTTAAACTGAGTTATGACTTAGCTTCAAAGAATTGAAAGTATATAATGGTAAAGGTCACAAAAGGGGAAAAAAGAATGTTATCTACTATAGTATGTTACTAGTCAATTTGAAATCAATCAGAATGGGTTTGGGGGTAAATATTCTACTAATTCTGATGGAGGTATTTTTTTCAGGATTAATCAGTATTTTATAATAAAAAAATGGTCATTATTCTACGGGCGTCACTTTACTTCACTGGACAACATATCTTTATCGTAATCAACTTCTATATTGAAATTGAAAAAGTATCCCTACCACTAAAGCTGGTTTGATGTCATACACATATCTAACAAACATATTATCAGAGGTGCCGACGATCTTGTTGTTAACGACGACGGTAGATATAGTATCCAGTCCATCACAAACCAACGTTATAGCTGTATATTGTAACATGTCAGCCGATACTGAAAACATAAAAGAGAAATGAAATAAAAACCACACAAGAAACTTCAATATATTAAACTTATTGTAAGTATAAAAGCTTGATTTATCATTTTTGGTATCTTATTACAGTTTCCAAAAAGCTACTCAATTGCCTAAGTCATCTTTTGGTATATGTATGGAAGTCGAAATTCCGCTTTGTTTACAATTTGCTACCTTTATAACAAAGTACTTCACATTCAGCGCTATTTTCTTCAAGTAATTAACATGATTGCATCTCATATGTTTCTAATCCATTGTTACGTTATTTAGAGCTGATTTAAATCAGATTGCCTAAGACAGTTGGTTACATACAACGTTGACGTAAAATGCGTCAAAATATACAGTTATTTCTTACTTACCATTAAAACTGCGACTGTATGTCCAATCGTCACGACCAATCCATCTATACAATGCGTCATTCTTACGGTAGTATGGGTCTGAGATGGTTTTGTTTGCCATCAAGGCCGTGTACATGGAACCAGGAACAACGCCTGGGATAACAATGCCTGGAAAACAATTCTAGCATAAAAAGTATGTTATTGCTTTACGAGCAATATTCAAATGTCACCAAATTAAGGAGTTAGCCCAACAAACTGTGCGCCAGGGCTTTTTATTATATGGACGCTGGTCGCCGACATCTATGAAATATCTGTGTAATTAAATCGGCCGGTATTGCAGTCGATATATTGAGACTACAAAAGAGTATGTGCATGTTGAAATGGCTCAATTTGTCGGCTGATCAGAAAAAAATATTACGTTACAAAGCTTCAAAACTTATTTTTTTTTTTTCGGAAATTTCAAATATTAGTTGACTTTCGGAAAAAGACGGACGGTGGACAGAATATTGAAAAACTCAAACAAACATAATTGCACAGTACTTAGTAAGTTATATCCGAATATATGGTTATGAAGCTTCAAGGGAAGTAACTGAAGGAAAATAGTTCAGGATTGCATCATATTATTAAAATTGAATTCGACAAATAAAAAATTGTGTTGAAAAATTTGGTCATTTCCACCGACTAAGATATAATTCATTAGTTATGTTTTCTTACGTGTGTTAAATAAAGATTGCAATTTCAAAAATACTTACTCATGTTTGAATTTGAAACAGTCCATTGTCCGTTTAAATCTATTTCCTTTAAAGAAAAACAAAACTTTGCACAAAATAACACAGTGAATGTTAAAGTTAAAACTTGCATGATGCAAACTACGAGTCCCTGGTGCGGACAGACAAGAACTAAACCAGATGCAAAAGGATCTAAAATAAATCCTTTTATCCTTTCGTTGTATAATCCAGCATCTAAAAGTAGCCTTGCATACGTTTGTAACTAAGTAATACTCAAGGTCTAATGATAAGTGGAAATAAACTATAAACACAAGTACGCAATTAGAAGAAACTGTACTACATTGTTTATTTTCAATACTTAAGAATATTGTATAAGTATATGAAATTCTGGGTAAAAAAAAATGAAAATTGGCACAGTTGTTTAATAAACACGCTTCAGTCAAGCCAGGGATCCGAGTTGTGCTTAAACAATATATATGGCCTCCAAAACCCAATATAATCGCCAGCATCAAATGTTTAGAATATTTAAGTTTTACAACTGTAGTCATTACATGGAAACTGCCATAGCAATTTATATAAATGAATGTTTTGTTTTAAAAGACATACAAGTATAGATACAATCTACTAAAGATTATATCAATATAGCCTACAAGGCTGCCGAGATTAATACTAAACTGATTTATGTACAGATTTGAAACTGCTTATGGATGGATGTTTCGCTACATAAAGATATAAAGTAATTATTTGATTGATTTAAATTTTGCAAGGTTTTCGAATAATTATGATTTATAAAAAGCTGATCGAACAGTCTCAAATATATTTGCAGATTTATCACGAAAATTAACAAGAAAATTATCACTTTATTACGGGATAGTAATCTTGTCATCATTGGCTCTTTAAAGACACAACGCAGAAAATTTGCGGAAAAGAGAATACGCGTTTCAGCAGCAAATCGTCGTATCAGAGAAATTAATAAAATGTTCAAATCCTAACGAAACATCAAGTTTACAAGTAACGGAACAGACATGTTAGGTAAATATATTATCGAGTCATGTTACTTTCGACATCAAATGGAATAGATGTAAACGAATGCATTTCCTGAATTTTAAATATTTGTACTTTATTATAATACGTTATGTAGTATTTGATATCAGTCTGGAAGGCTGAAATTATTAGATTTTATACATGTTCCTTCATTCGAATAATGTAATGGGTCATTCATGTGTTATTATAAGGTAAATTTTAAGTTGTTGACCGGAAATGCTTATTTTTGTCTCATTTGCTGCTTGAAAACAAATGCTTTATATTCATTATATTAGAATATATTCATATTGTACACATGTACTCTGTTTGTCTGCTATTTTTGGGGCGTGGTTATTGTTGCGCATGTCAATCGCATTTTAAGAGACGCGGAAGACAAGAGTGTTATCATTCCATCAGAGAGGCCGGGACACTCTTCAGTTGACATTTTATTTTATGCCTCTTCAATTTCAAACAATTACCCAATATGTATTTTTCGAAGTTTAGTTGTTGATACAAATATAATTTTAGTCCAGAAGAAACAATTGTTTCATGAAAATAATACTATACATATATATGATGTGAAGCACCAATTTTTAAATGTTTATCCAACAAACGATTGTAGTAGCAGGACATGGGACACGAACCTCTGAATTTGTATCACAAATAATGTAAATGTTATACCCTCGCGTTCATTTCCTAAACGACCAGTCGACGTTTTTTTTCTCTGTCGCATTATCTCAAAGCAGTCCAATAAAGGGAAGTCTAATAACAAGTGACAACGAAGCTGTTTCGACTACTGTTGTTAAATTTATCCATTTCATTCAAAATGACTGCCCTTCTTACTACGGAATATCAACTTTCTGATACATTTCAGTCCGAAGGCTATTGACCATTATACTTCTTAGAGGTACTACAACAGTCGTTGCACAAACAGCATGGTATAGCACAAACTGCTTGGTAAAGCACCAGGCAAGACGCCGAGTACCCCCAGCTTCTTGTCAGGTACAAAGCTGTTTGACTGTCGCCCATAAATGAAAAAAGTTAGATAAAATTTAAACAGACGACATTTTAGCAGACGACCAGTTAGCAAGTAACAAAAGGGATAAGTTTTGTCATAAGTGTAATAGATTGAGACTGAACCATAGTCACGTCAGTTTGAGTCTTTTTCTTTACTTTAAATTTACAAAACAATTTTTGGTGTGGACGAGTGGTAGTGATATTCTAATCAGAGCATTTTAACCCTTTGTGCGTTCGAATCAAGTCATCAATTCAATTCAATTCAACATTATCATTTTGTAAAGGAAGGCCCCTGGCCTCTATAGAAGTTTATACCAGTAACGCATATTGTACGTATTCTAAACACATCCAGAACCGTCGCATTCATTCATATAAGGCTTTAAGGCCAGCTTACGGTGGTTCTATTTGGGGCCTTGCTCGCAGGCTTGGTCACTTGTGGGTCATCTTCCAGCAGTAAAGCTACATCGTCATTGAATTCATGGCCTAAATCTAAACTTGGAAAAGGGGCATCAGTGATTATTCTATTAATTTACAGCCAATACTGAACGGCCAATATTCAGATCACATATATTTCTGTTACGTCTTCTTGCAACTTGGAAAAATGAGTAAATCACCCATCATATTGTTTAAAAGCGGTGGCCTATTGGTTAAGGTGCCTGCCTCTTAACCTAGGGATTATGAGTTATGGCCCACATTGGGCCACGACCATTTTTATTCATATTGTACCAGTATTGGTTAGTTCCAGGAAGCGGACTCAAAAGTGATTACAATTTATGCATCAATGGAAGATAAAAAAAAATGAGATGAAAACAAATAATAATAGTCTTTTTTTTATCATTTTAATATGTTCATAACGCAAAATACGAAGAAAATTAATCAAAATTACGAATAAATGAAGTATGAAGACCGATCAACGGTGACAGTGAAAATGATTATGACGAAGTAAAAAAACAACAACAAAAAACAATGTATCTTTAGAAGAATTTCAAATTGCTCTTAACAGTTGATTTCTGTTAATTAAAGTTCAATTTAATATGTAAATTACATGTAATAAGTGTAACTGCCTTATATTAGGATTCATTTATCGAAACAGAAAACCATCTTCTTGTGAAATCTTAACTTCAAACAAATGTAAGAAATATAGCAAGCACAATAATAAAAGACAGACGGAGAGTTAGTTCGAGTATGACGTCATAGTACACCGGAATTTGGACATACCCAAGTGAACAAAAATAGTATGGATAAACAAAATAGTAATTAAAACCGATGGAATACAGAAAGTCTTTATATTTCAGTCTAGTTTTGGGTAACTTCAGTTTGTCTCATCAATTTACGCTGCTGTTTTCTTTCTTTTCTCGCTCTCCATTTGTTTGCCAGTTTCGCCGTCTTCTTGCCCTTCTTGTTTTCCTTTTTATCCTCTCTCATTTCTTTCTTCATTTCTTTCTTCTCTAATTTTCTGGCTTTCTTTTCCGCCTTGTACGTTTCAAACTCTTCCGGTGTCATTTGCTTCTTCATCTGTTTCCATTCCTTTTTCGCTTCCTTTCTCTGCTGTTTCTTTTCCAACTTTCTCGCCTTCATCTCTTCCATTTTATTTTGTCGTGATACGTCTTTTTTGGCCCATCTCTCCTTGAAACGTTGGATTTTTTCTTGCTTTCCTTTGCTTTCCCATTTTTCAATTTTGGCCTTCCGTTTTTCTTCAATCATTTTTGGTTTCTTATCCATTTTCTCAAGACGAGCCTGCTTCTTGGCTTTCCGCCTTGCCTTTTTTTCTCTCCATGTCATTTTTCTGTAAAAAATTGATACAAATGTTTAATTCAACGCTATTGTATACGAAAATTTTCAACCACTCATGTCAATAACTTTGTTTATTGGTATAATTATTAAATGTTCAATGATGCTAAGTCATGATCCACATTTCAAGATATTGTAATTTATAGTTTTCTGTACTCAATACAGTTGATGATTCCTTGCAAGGTGGATTTGAAAAAGATCTATTCATATCTCTTGTTTTGAAACAAAATGAAAAAAGTCTACTAAGATGTATATACAGAACGTACCCCAACAATTTGACATTGTACTGTTATTTTGGAACAAAATATTTAAACAAAGCAACCATTGCAATATTTACATTTAGCTATTTACAGATTTGATCAGTGATTAATGTTCAATAAATTAAACCGGCAAGCAACTGATGAAACTAGCGATATTGTAGGTGAAATGAAAAACAAGAAATAATAGGCCGGCGGCGGACATCTCAATTATTTTTGACAACAAATTCTGTTCTCCCATGCCAAAAAGATTTATATTTTTCTTTTTACATACAAACATTTCCGCAGATTATAAATGGCTCTTGAATAATGACATATGTGAATGTAAAACAGCTTTAAATATCTTAAATTTAATTGTATAATTTTGTATTTTACTTACTTGTCCTGTCCATCATCTTCATCATCTTCATCCTCATCGTAATCTTCATCATCGTCATCATCATCATCATCATCATCATCTAAATCTATCTCAAAAGCTTCACCATCTTCATCGACATCTAATTCGTCACACTCCAATGTGACGTCACGCTCTTCAGTTAGCCAAAGCGGTTCGCAAGAGTTGGAGCATAGATTTGAGCTGTAATGAAAAAGCAGAGGTCATCATTTGATAATATAGATATCACTAATTTTATTCTCATCTGTAAAACTTAATAAATTTTAATTTTTTAGCTTCACCCGCGATATAAACAAATGGAAATAAGCATAGCAATATTGATGCAAATGCTAGTATGGGAACGCAAAGGATTATTGGGAAAATGTATATGTATTTTGTTCTTACTAGTTAAAACATATTTTATTGTAGCTTCTTTAACTACAGTTTATTTCTTACAAGCACCGCTTCCCCGGGAATTTTAAGTGGGAAAAAGTGCAAAGGGTTTACAACCACCCTTTCTTCAAAAAACTGTCACACGCTAAAAAAATGCACAGTAATAAGTAAAGGTGGAAAACACCAAGTTGTTTAAGTCTAGATCAGATATTTGTTTTCTTCGTAAATGGATTTTACAAGGATAAGATTGCACGACAAGTGAAAACATTTGCTCAATGAAATATGAATAATATCTCAGCAATTAGACAATATCCATAATAATTTTGCAATCGGAACATCTCGGCTATTGTCATTGGCCTAGAAGTTGCGATTGTGTACTTTTGTACATTAAATCGCTGTTGGTAGTTGTACCATTTTATTTTTAAAAAAGTGTAGCTACTGACTAGTTTAGACTGGAATATAAGGATGAAATTTAAATTGCCTGGCAAAACAAAAGAAACCAGTTTTAAAAAAGCATAATAATATTAAATGGTTTTTAAAAAATCTTACTAACCTGGCGGGGTACACATGGATCCACAGCATTTATCAGTCCCATTACAATGAAAGTCCGTGACACATTCCTGCTGTGACACTCCCGTCGTGACAGCTGTTATAATGGACGGACAGTAACCTGGCTTCTCTTCTAAAACATACAAAAGTGTAAGAAACTATTAAACTACTGTAAATTAATTGTACATCAAATTGCAATTTGTTATATGGTGGATAAATTCAAAATGTAAAAAAAATGTCTGATAAAAAATAAAGTTTTAATCTGGATGAAAAGTTATTTTATTACTTTATTGTGCTAATTATGTGGCCCGTTTACGTTTTCCTTATGCAATATGATAATTTCTTTACACAAACGTTCGGGATAGTTGTTTTTATTCAAGAAACAGTCGTAAAATGGTTTGTTTTCAGAGTATATGACATCATTTTAAAGGCCTGCAACAGAAATGCTATAATATTCAACATTATTATATAAACATACTTAACATAATTCAGTTGTATACATGTTTTTTTTTATAGGAGAAGTGTTTCAAAAAATTTAATTTATTTTCTATTAACGGTAAATTTTATGATATACAAAGGAATTGGGAAAATAATCCTAAAAAGGCAAAAACGCTAAAAATTAACACAGTGTTATTTTCTTCAATTTTATATTTCAAACTTACAAAACTAATAAATAAGTGCATGTACTTTTACCTATACTTTTAAACCAGACATTAAGTATCATATAATAGCATACATCTATAGCAAAATAATAGCCACTTTACCAAATAATTTTCACTTTATTTAGTTCGACAACTTCTTAATTTGTTCACCGTAAACATAAATATTTCAACAAAATATACAAACTGTGTTAACATTTGAGCCGCGTCATGACAAAACCAACATAATGCGTTTGCGACCAGCATGGATCCAGACCAGCCTGCGCATCCGCGCAGTCTGATCAGGATCCATGCTGTTCGCTATCAGTTTCTCTACTTGTTATAGGGTTTGTAAGCGAACAGCATGGATCCTGATCAGACTGCCCGGATGCGCAGGCTGGTCTGGATCCATGCTGGTCGCTAACCCATTATGTTGGTTTTGTCATGACGCGGCTCATTTGTTTATCCAAAAAAAAATGTTGTATTCTATGACAGACTATTAGAAAAGTGTTAAATGATAGTGTAAGTAAATTTATTTTCTTACCTGCAAAAACAGCAGCAAACACTGCAAAAATCAAAATTCCTATCTTCATTTTCGAACTTTATCTTTCTTGGAGGTAAAACAGGCTTTGTTAAGAATGAATGCTTAGCCTGGTTTATATACCCGCGTATGATCAACAAACATGCACGCGCAGATGTTATCAATTATCCATCAACTATCACTTATCTGCCAATCTCAAGGACGGGTCAAGTGCGTTATAGTCAGAGGTGTATGCGTCATCCAACATACTAAAAAAATAGACTGGCAACTACCTCATGTTTAAATATATTACACTTAGGGTTATGTACATTTATTGCACAAATGGTAAGTAAAAATGCTGAAGCAACACCAAAAAAAAACCACACACACAAACAAACAAACAACAAAAAAAACTTGTAAGCATTCAGATTCGGATCGTAATGTATGCATCAATTCTTGGTCTCAGAAAAAATAAAAGAAGTGTATTTATAAAAATAACATTCATAACTTTGTATTTGTATATCCTATAAAGTGTTGTTTTTTGATGTTGTTGATGTTGTTGTTGTTATTAGTTTTGATGTATGTTTACTCAAATTGTCGAACCTAAACCAAGTAGCTGTATACCGTCGTTTGACAAGCCTGTGCAAGAAACCTGAAATTTCTAATTGTTTCTCTGATAGAATCATTCATTCATTTACTTGATTAGTGTCTTATTAACACTTTGGGTTCTTTTCGGGTTAGTCTGTAATTTGTTCGTCAAACATATCATTACAAAATAAATAAAAAAAATTTTGTAACATAGTGGGTACCTTTAATCAAAATGAAATACGATGGTTGTCTTGTTGTTTTATTACGATACTATAATAATTTTATAGTACACCTCATGTTTTACAGGGTTGTTTTTAAATGTAAGCATCAACAAAATGTGTTCATTGGTAGACCGACATATTAAGTGTTCATCATATAAAAAATCGCAGTTAAGAGTTCATACATTTATGTATCAATTTTAATAATAATTAAGTAAGTAATTATAAAACAAAATTCTTCTACAAAAGTATGAACTACAACAATGTGTGCATTTGTTTTAAATTCTTGAAAGAAATAAGAGCCGCGTAATGACAAAACCAACATAATGCATTTGGGACCAGCATGGATCCAGACTAGCCTGCGCATCCGCGCAGTCTGATCAGGAAGCATGCTGTTCGCTTACCAACTCTATTACAAGTAGAGAAACTTATAGCGAACAGAATGGATCCTGATCAGACTGAGTGGATGCGCAGGCTGGTCTGGATCCATGCTGGTCGCAAACCAATTATGTTGGTTTTGTCATGACGCGGCTCAATTATGTTACTGTATGAACAAGGGTACGTCTGCGCTTATCAGGACTGGGCTATGTAACGTATTTAGATCTTTATCTTTGCCAATATGAATAAAGACATGCTAAGGACCATGCTAGACTGCATGTCACTAAACTGTTAATTAGCTGATCAATTTTATCATTTTAGATAATGAAACTTACTTTTGATGTTTCCTAATTTAGAAAATAACAAATCCATTTCAAAAACGCAACAGGGAAAAGTTTATTTTACTGCACGCAAAATTATTGGTAATCTTAAAAGGTGCAAAGTGACAACGTGGCCGTGTGGTTAACGCGTCGAAAAAGAGGATTTGAGAATTTCTGGCCGCGCTGGTTCAAACCCCGTCAGGGGCAAGCCGAAACTTTTCACTCATTGCTTAATTAGTACTGGTTGGTTACAGGAACTGATTCGAGAGTGTTTCAATAAGATTAAAGCTTCCAACACAATCGAACTAAAATAAATTCGTATTAACTAAAGGTTCAGTGCTTATGATAAGCCCAAATTGTGGACTTGAATTGGGAATAATATGGATGGGGCAAGTCTACAATAACATGAGCGGGGTATTTACTCCAAGAGCGAAAACATAATTAGCGCAAGTGTCAAAAACTGGTTCTAACATCTGGAATTTTACTCTGATCACCTTTCCTGAAATCTCATTGGTCAGTTCAAGAGCCAATAGAAATCTCTTAGAATCGTACTATGTTTTTGTTTACAAACAGACTCCCATGAGTATTAGTCATTTTGACCTCCCTGACCGCATGATAGAAGCATAATAAGCTTCTGAAATAGTGCTCTAATGTCAGGCAAGTGTCAAAATATAGATTATAATATTGTTAAAAACTAAAAATGAAAAAAATACGTATTTAACAAACGTTTTTTTTTTTTGTTTTTTTTTTGTCGCACATATTATCGGAGCGTTCTGTTATATTATACTGTAAAAAATGTATTATGTAGTATTAAAATATGTGTCAACAACAGCACAAAACGAAGCTCCATTTCAAAGCAGATATATTCTTGATTGCAAAGTTTTTTTTATAATTTTATGATAAAAATGTTTAACTTAGACAATAAACTGTTGTTGTTTTTGTTGTTGTTGATTTATTTTTATTTATTTAAATTTTATTTCTTTTTTTTTAGAAAAGGTTGTTAGTTTAATGCAAATGCCTCATAATTTAAGAATATTCATTACGACATATTTTTTGTGAAGTCTCTTTTCGCAGTCATTATTGTATTAATGATTTTGTTAATATCTTTTATTTTAAACTAATAAAAAGGTACTTATGTCCTTACAGACAGCTTAGGCAGACATTTACCTGTATATTAAGTTAAAGTTTATGTTTAAGCTTTAGTCTGATGGATAAATTTGACAACAGAAGTATGATAATTATGTCTTGCAGGAAAACATACACATGCTTTAGCATTCTTCAAATATAATACCTTATTGTTAATGTCGAATTTGTTAGCAAATATCATATTTTCCATATCGAATGTTTCTTATTTTAATATTTCATTCTATTCTATGTATATAAACTTTGTTTAAAAATTACATATTTCTGAGAAATAGAAATTAATCTAATGATGTGATGATGATGATGATGATGATGATGATGATGATGATGATGGTGATGATGTTGTTGTTGTTGTTGTTGTGTCCATTTTAGTTTCATTGACAAATGTTCCTTGTAAGGTTGTTTATAAATATTTTTAAGCTAGTGAGACAGAAAGAAAATATATATGCTATATGTATAAAGTCTTTAAGTCCGTCACGTGGTAAAAAGTCAATTTTGTTGATGTTGTTGTTTTTGGTTGTTCAGAAGGCAGCATTCCAATTAAAATGTAATGTTTGTACTTTGTGCAGTTCTATATCTTCGTGTGTTACCTTCTAAGTCGTCGTTATCATCATCACCATCATTATCTCCACCGTCCTTACCATCAATGAATGAATGAATCAATCAATCAATCAATCAATGAACGAACGAACGAACAACTGAACGAACGAATGATGCAATATTCGTGTATGTTTAAACAAATTATTGAGTGTCTGTCGAAAGTATATGAGCTGTCATATTCTAAAAATTAAATATAATATATATTCATTTTTCTACCTATGCATGTCCTGTTGTTGTTGTTGTTGTTGTTGTTTTTGTTTTCTATTTCAGAAGGTCACATTGGAAATAAGATATATATGATGTTCTTAATGTGTAACCTTCTTTAAATAAAGATACTTTATTATTATTATTATCATTATTATTATTATTATTATTATTATTATTATTATTATTATTATTATCAAAATTATCATCATCGTCATCATTATTATTATTGTGTCATTTTCATTGGTTTTTTTTTTTGTTTGTTTTTTTTTTTAACCACGTTTAAGGCCCGTTTATTTACATTTACCTTTTTATATAATACATTCATTTTACATATTTCAATTAATTATTTTACATGACATACGTTACAAACTAATATATATGTTGTTGTAGACATTTTAAAATAATTTCAAAGAGCTTATAAACGCGAATCTCTTTAAGAAAAAGTTATGAAAAAGGATATTATATTTTAAACAAGATAAAGTTTTGTTAAATCAATTTTAAAGATTTCCTTGAGTCAGTTTGAAAAATGCTGAAAAATTTGGGGAGGTGCTAAAATATAAAAGGATAATTTGCAAGAGAAAAAAAACTGTAGTAAACAAAAACATATTTTTCCAACAAACTACGATAAGATAAAAAAAAAGGTAATATTGTTGTTATTGTTATTGTTGAAAATGATAAAGAGCGGGCATAAATAGCGTCACAGTTTAATAACAATTTTAAACTTTTTTTAACAAATAAAACACTTAAATAAAAAGCATCATATTTTCAACATAAAAGGAATGATTGCCTTATAGTTAAGACATCAATGATTCATATACATGCGAAGTCTCTTGAACTACTTGACCTGGGCACGGGATTAAGTCGGCCACTACTAAACCGGAAAAGCATTATAAAGATGGAATTTGTTGGTGAAACCAATGCACGTGATTGATGGGCGGTCATACAGTTCAGTCTCGTCTGCTAATTAAGACAGACGCGATTTTCAAGTGATAATTAATGTCAAGATTAAAAATTAGGACATCTTATTGCCGTCTGCTTTGTACAATAAGATTAAAGCTTTGTTTGGAAAACTTAACTAATTGCTTATATGTACTTTTAGTTTGATTTTTGTTATTTTGTTGTTTACTTATTGCTGTTGTGATGTATTTATTTATTTGTTTTTCCGGGAAGGGTAGTGGGTTTAAATATAGCCAATATAAGACTTTTGGACGGAGATCTACCAGCAGTTTGATAAGTTTAATTTTTCAAAAAAAAAAATCGAATCTCATGCGTAAGCATCAGACGCAAACATTTTGACACAAGGAAAGTTATTACATGTTTTGTATTATTACAAACAAAATACTGGTCACTGATCAATAATTTATAACCATTTACATTACAAATAGAATGTGTCAAAGATTTACATTATTTAGTTTAACATTTAATAAATTGTAAACATGGATCATTAACACTTATAAAAACCAAGATAATTATAACATTTTCTCTAAAATCATCATAAATTATAGTTCTTATAAATCAAATAGTATTCCGTGCAAAAAATCTTGCATATTACACTATATATATATTCTTTATTTGAGTCTCATCCATACATAATATAAAACAATTCAATGACATAATTTTACAAAGTAAAAGTTATTTATGTACGGCCATTCTTATCAGAATTACAAGAGACTATAAAATTTTTGATCTAATGGAAGGGAGGCAACTCTGCAAGAATGTCCAATGTTACTTACAGAGTTACCTCTCTTCTCATTCCATATTCATATGCATGTTACAACTATAAGGGCTGTTTTCGATGAGTTGGGTGATATTGTTGGTGGCGTGGTATCATTTAGCCCTAAGTTTGCTAGGAGCGAATAAGCCTTGTAATAAGCCTTATATAAATGCCTTGTCAAAGGGTTTGTTACTGGACCAGACCAGACGACAATTACCTCAGTTACCATTTACCACTGTCCGACATTTTCACTCAATACCTTTTGTTGCTGTTTGGATTTCGATACAATTGGATCATAAAGCAGACGACATTTTCGCACAAGGCATTTTTCCCATCGTGCAAAAGATTAGAGAATATACAGATACAATGTCAGTAATCCTGTTTTTATACGTATATACACTTAATAACAGACATATGTAATGTATGTTCTGTAATATAGTTTGTATATATAAATTTGTTTACGGCTATATATGTGAAACTTTTCGAATGAATGTGGTGATGTGATTAATTATGTCATACTTTTATGATGTACGTTAATCCTTACTGTCATACATTGTAACAACGTATTGACGATGAATATATACCCGGTACATATGTTTGTGCCAAATAAAACATTGTTCAGATTGTTATTCTTGCTCTTGGTGTACATTATCAAGACAATGGATATGAGCGTTTTGAAGAAAACAAAGGCAATTTCTTCTAATTTTATTTATTTTGATATACAGGTATGTTTCATACGTATATGATATCGTCTTTACACATTTATCCTGTGGAAGTTGTCTTGTGAACCATGAACTGAAAACATAATCATACACCAATTAATGCATTGTTTAGCAGACACACATACTATGGACAGCATATTCTTCACATAGTTGAAACAAGAAATACATTTTCTCAGTAAGATTAAAACATTGATTAAGTTTGGAAAGTCTGGTCTAAAAGCAGATGCTCGGGATCACGAGTAATGTCTTGCGACCATGTGCCTCCCTTCTTATAAATTTGTAGTATAAGCTTGTATTTCTTTTATATATGACACAATTATCTAAATAAATGTATAAATGACGTCTGAGAAACAAATCTTATTATTAAATATATTTTGTATATACATGTATATTTATACTGATACATAACAAACATTTTCCTAAGGTCTCAGAAATGAATAAATCTTTCCTTATTTAGAAAGGGCAAACCTGAATTTAAAAATGTAAAAATAATGGTTTCAGAGCAAGTTAGATGCTTATTACCTAAAGAATGTAGCGCTGAATGTGAAAATATTACAATAAAAGTAACATATGTAAACAAGGGAAAGTATTTTGACTTCTATATAAATCACAATAACTGACCTTACTTCCAGAAAGCAACAGACGGAAATTTTGATTCAGGTGATTGGCCAATGCGTAACCTTTTGTAAACAATAAACAAAAACAAAAAGCTTTTCAGGAACAAAAATAAAACAATTTCTAGGACATAATGGGCCTTCAAATTAAATAAATTGGAATGTTTGTGTAACAAAATGTTAAATACTAAAGTACTACCATTATGAATGTTTCGTCTGCGACTCGTGCAGGTGCCCGTGACGAGGAACTGCACGCGCAATTTCTTTTCTGTAATCAAACTGGTGATGTAATTAATTTTCTGCGGATCTTTTGGAGTAGCATCCGTAAACACAAACACCTGTGAGTTGGCATTAGCAACAGTTGCGGCTGAAATAAAAGACAGCGGGTTAACACTCTGAAATTAATTGTACTAATGACTGCTTCTTCAAATCCCTCCCGAGGCGTGCACACTGCAGGTCAAGGTCAAATAATCTCAAGTACCAGAGGTGATTGGTTGACCTACCATGACTATCTCGGTAGGGTGGCACTAACATGAACCGTTTATGTTAGAGATGCCGTCGGAAAGCTGATGCCTTGGATAATATTGACGTCTGCTTCAACCATCAACGAGCGAAGAACAGGTCCCGGGAAGATTCTGCATGACAAGTCGCCGCTGATGTGGTCCCTATGATCGGACCAGCAAGTGCGCAGATAATCTGGCCCATGTGGTTATTCCGGTGGCCCGATCTACACGTTAATGATTGTTCTATGCTGTCTATAAGAGCTATCAGGCAATAAAAAAAGTTTGACCATGATTTTTTAATTGAAACACCCTACATGCATAGCTGTATGATAGGTTAAGCTTCAATCAAAAATAACATAATTATTGCATATTCTTACAAATATATAAACATTGTTTACACTGTGTGTGACATTTTTTTTTTCGTTGTACAAATGATGTAATGATTAAACAATATGCGGTAAAAAGTGCAATGTGTTTTTTTTAAATCTAGATTCATCGGAAACAGTAATCACATCAAAAGTATGTAGCAAAAGTACATGAAAATTGCAGACTCGGTTTGATTGAGTCTGTACATAATGAATCGCGCCCTCTAGCACCGGCTGAGCGATATTCAATTCAATTTTAAAAGTGCTTGTAGGAAAAAAACTGGAATGACAATTATAACTGGTCTGCGCATGCGCAGTTAATGGTGATATGATACCTGCTTGTATGCCAGTGAGCGAGAATTCTGGGCAGTCATCTCCACCATGAACTTTTATAGCACCTAACCAACTCTGAATGTCTGCTGGATCTTTTGTCTTCTGGACTGTGGTCAAGTTACCTAGGTTATATACAAATCATGATTATAATATAATGTCAACTGTTTAGTCTCGTTTCAGGAGGCTGTGCTTGATGGTGCAGTACGTAAAAAAAGCCGTGTGTACAATATCACATCATTAACGTAATGTGAACGTGATTTTTTTTATCTAAGAAAATATATTTGACCATCATAAGCTTTAATTGAAGGATAAAAAAGTTCTCAAATTATAAAAAAAATATATATATATGCAAAGCTATATGTACCTGTATATTCATAAAGAAATGTTTACATATTTACAAATTAAGCGATCTGATTTCAAGTACCTGGGTCATTAAATGTGACCAAAATGTAGTTGTAAGGAGCATTGGCTGTTCCCTGGGTTTCGCGGACAATCTCGGCTGTCTTCGTCTGGACGGCAGCGATATCTTTACCCATTGACCCGGTTGTGTCAATGACAAACACAAGAGAGTTACCAGCCCTGATCTGAAGTAAATCTTGGAACTGTTCTTCACCAACCACATACCTCAAACCATATGCTGGATAATAATAATAATAATAATAATAATAATAATAATAATAATAATGATAATTATAATGATAATGATAATGATAATGACGATGGTGATGACGATGATGATGACTGAGGTGATAAATACGATGATAATGTCATATGCTATGGAAATAATACAAACGATGATGATGATGAAGTTGGTGTCTTACGCTGGATAATAATAATAATAATAATGACGACGAGGATGATGATGATGATGATGGTGATGGTGATGATGACGATGATGATGATGATGATGTTGATGATGATGACGATGAAAACAACAACAACAACAGCAGGAACAATGATAATAAATAAATTGATAATCATTAACGATAACAAATAATAATAATGTATTTACTATATATTTCTATGTGAACAAATCTAATTCTTTTAGCTTAATCGGAAAAGGGCTTCTGGTTCTACAGTTAATGGTTCCTTTTTCATCAAAGATTATTTGTATGAAGCGTTATAAATCATTGAACATAAATAATTCTTCTTTATGAAGCACTCAAAGTAACAAATGCTCTAACTTTGAAGACTGTTTTTGTTAAACATTAATTACTCAGCTCTTTGCTCAAGTTGTGGGTACTTTTCTTTAATATAAGGGGATATAATATTGCTAACAACGATTTCTTTGTTTCAATGAAATACGTGCGTTCGTGTGAAAGAGGGATCAGCAATACTAGTAGTATGTGGTAATTTCAAGTACTTTTTGTAGTATGACTTAATATATACTTCATTAACCCTCACTCCGCTAAATTTTCTTAAATGGACTTGTCCATCCTTCAGTCTGGGCAAAACCATTTGTCATTTTAGAGGTTAATTCAAGATATGTACTGACAGAATAGCGAACAGTGCAAAACAAAATCAGACGGCACGGGTTTGCAGATTGATTTTGATCTGCACTGGTCGCATAGGTAAATAAGTCACCGCCAGCAAGTTAAGGCTTGGATTGCAACATATTTCTTTGGAACTTCTTCATATGAAAAATCTTACTTTTGTCATCAAAGAAGAATCGTGTATGCTCAATAGCGGCCTCGGCAGCTTTCTCGTGCAGCTGATGGTGTGGGGAATAGCCCGGGTCCATAGAGTCTTTGTTGATACCCCCTAGAGCTGCGGATGTGGTAGAGGATGAGTCACGTGGTCCGCCGTGACTGCATTTGCCCGTGCTGGATGTGCTGGGATCCTCTGTTGAAAAATTTTATTTCAAATAATTAACAAATTCGATAAGATTTTCAAGAGACAGAACATGGTCACTGCCGCCTTATTCATTATGTACGATTCTGAAAAGCAATCAAATATATGTAATTATTACAAAATCATTTACGTTTTTTTTTCGCAAATATATACGTCAGTAGAGCTGTCGTTTGCAAGTATTAGATATTATTACTATTTTTATCACTTTTATTATATCATTATTATTATTGTAATTATTTTTATTATTATTATTTTTTTTATTATTATTATTTTTATTATCATTATTATTATTATTATTATATTTGTATTTTAGCACGTATTTTATGTGACGTCATAACTTACTGTGAGGTTTCACAACGTCTTGTCCACTCTTGTAACCACTGGTCAGGAAATTTCTGGACACTATTAGGTTCGATGCGCAATCCGTATGCACCGATGGTCTACAAAAAAACAGCTACATTGTAAAAAAGTAACAGTATTTAAGAATGATATTAAAGTTTGAATGTTAAATACCTTTAAACTTCAACCTTCTGAATTTGTGTAATGGAGGTGCACTTTTCTGGACAGTAACAGTCCGAATGTTAAAGGATTTCATTATCAAAATACAAAACTGTGCTACAAACAGTATAGAGCCTGGTCAGTCTGCACGGAAGTGAAGGATAGTCTGTCGCTGTACTGGCAGTAGAGGCTTATCCCTTTCAGTTCAAGCAAGTAAATTCCACTTGCATATCATGATGCAGATATTAATTAAAGGCCTAATCTTAGAAGAAGTGTATTTTATGAAAATTTGAAATAAATTATAAAACAAAAAATGTTATGCAATATGCCTTGTTTAATTTTAAACATTTAGCAAGAAGCTAGTAAAGCCAATGCATATGCAATAAAGGTTATGTACATTTAAATTATCATAATAAAAAATATTATTATTATTACTATTATAACTGTTGTTGTTGTTGTTTGATTTATTGTTTCTTTTATATATATTAACTAATGGCCACGGCCGACTAAGCAATAAAATATTAATTTAGACTCCGTTTATTTATAAGAAGGGGGAAGGGTAATAACGGGAAAACCTTGCAATAATACATGTATTACATTTTTTATAATTTTTATGCTGTATATGACTAATATTTTCCATTTACATACCCGCAACTCCTGCACGTGTCAATGGAAGGCGGAGCAGATGCCATAATAGGCTGACCAGTAATACCTGAAAGAAATGTGATGGTATTTGGTACGTGCGTAGTTTTCCCCTTTTAAGTAAAACCATATAAATTTATACACTAAGTAGGCACTGTTAACCCTTACGACATTGCATTTCATTAATGAGATTTCCCTATATATAAATGGATGTGACTGGAAGTATATAGCCCTTAAAATGCCGACTTTTTAAAAATTGGCTTAGTCGTATTCCACTTTTGAAACTGCCGATCGTTATGTCTAATTTTTGAGAAAAAAAGAATGAAAACCTAGTAATATAGAGACTGACCACATTGCACGGAATGTTGACCTTGCTCTATACTGGTGTCAATAGCTACAAGCAATTTCGGTTCTGCTGGCACGTTTAAAACCTAATTAAAAATGAATTTTCGAGAAAAAATCCCAAATCCAATTGTCTTTGTTTTGAAAGGTATCGTAATAATTGAAACGTTGATGATAGAATAATAGTATTCCGTTGTAACAACTTCTTACCCAATGGTCGGTAGATAATTGATCCACTTAGTTCTACCCAGTTTGTGTTACTGTAGAACATTTGTAGTAAGTGGAGATATTGTCCAATCACTTCACGGGCGGCGTCATAATTTGGTGCCGTACTGTTGAGAATTTGTATGACGGTATCACGTAACGTCTGCATCTTGGCGTTCGCTATAGAGAACAAATTGACAATTTTAAGCGATAAAGACGGGACTATCAATTAATTGCATATATATTAAAAGTTATCAATGAATATTTCAAGTTAGTAATGTCAATTCTTAATCTATACACGACTGCATTCATTTTCATTTTATTCAAACGGAAGTAAAATAATTGTGCAGTTTTCAAGACGTGTTATATGGGCGTATATTTAGTAAACGGTTGTTTGCTGTATAGACCCAGCCGCTATATATTAGGCTTTTTAAACCGTTTTTACGCAATGCCAGTCACGATTAGTTTATGTGCATGAATTACAAAAATTATAATGCGACAAAAGTATCGAATTTTCCAGACCTGTTGTTATTATATCAATTTATTGAATTCTAATTCATTAAAATGGCAGATTAATTAGAGACAGTTGGTGGGTAATCAATCAAGATTAGGTCAGATTAAGATGGGAAGACGGACTATATCCATATAATAATCACCTTCTGTAATTTTCTCGCCGTTAAAATGCCACAAAGCCTCCGTATAATGATCTTGATCCACTTTGTTATTCTGTTTCACTATGTCATCAATCGCCTCTTGAAATCTCTTCTCCGATACTTGACCTGTAACAACAACAATTAACATATGGTAGCCACTGGTCAGTGGTCATCCCGACATAATGTAGTTGAAGTTTTGTAATACTCTGAGTTACCGAAGGTTGAATGAATCTTCAGGGGAGGTAATTTATCGAGTCTCAATTTGGACTGGTTGTCTCCCGTCTATTAATCAAGGGCCTTAATCAAGCCCCTGAAAACGGGTAGGCTTAAATATTCTGTGATCGAGGAATAGATTTCACAGAATATTTTGCACTCAATTTATTTTGCCATTTTAGCTTAAAAAACACAGTATAGATTAAAATGCTAGCAATGCCTTTATTTAAGCAGAATGAAGTATCAAAATTACCTTTTTTTGTCTTTAGAAATAGCACCTTGCACTTTAATAAAATTAGATGGAACATGGCTGGTCCGATTTGATTACCAGTTTTTTTAATATTATATTAATATATAATCAATACAACAATAAATACATTTAGTATGTAACCTTTAAATATGAGGATACACTCGAGAGTTTGTTTCTATTACATGTATAGCTATGAGAATATGCAGAAAATCTCCAAAGATTAAGTAATGGCAGGTACGTATGTTAATATACGTACCTGGTAATGGTATTAATCATTGACTCTAAAAGGAAATATAGCTGGAAGTTTGTATAATACGCATTACAAGATTTTTTTTGATTTTCTTTATAAAGGAATTTTTTAAAAAGAATTTTCAAATATTTAAATCTTACGCCGAAGGTGTGCCAATTTGATAACTTTTGAAACGTAATACTATAGGTTCAAAACTTTCTGAAAGATAAGAGAGTAAAGTACAAATGACCTTTCTTAATTGTCTAGATATGTGAATAACAATTCTTTGATTAATTTTCAGACCATGTTCAAATGTTAATCATGTACTTAAAAGAAAAGAAGATATACTTATATCCAAATTACCTCCATAATATTTATCATACAATCTGCGCGCAGTGATATCTGCTATACCGGTCAGCGTTCCTGGAGTACATGGCTGACATTGCTGTACAGGGTGATCCTCGAAAAATTTAGCAACAGCCTGTAGAATATCAGTTTTATTCAGTATATTTAATCTTTCTAATATTAGCTGCATAATATAGCATGATAAAAATACGAATGCAAAATTAAGAGAAACGCAATGTATATTACTGAACACGCTTTCATGTAAAAAATGATCGAATAATTTTTTATGTAATAAGTGACAAAATATCAAGGTAAAGCAATAAAAGGTCTTTAAGATTTGCAAGAGAATGTCAAACTGGCTTGAATTCGCAATAAGAGCGATCAGTGTTCACATGTGTCGCCTGCTTATGATAAACAGTTATATTGAGGGATGACCCTATATGTCGCGGCTTTTTTGTTGCATGCTGCAGCAACTGTGTAGCAGGTGACACAAAAGTCATTCACATGCCAAAACGCTTTTTTCATTCAGGGTCACAACTCAGCCAAAAATCATTCAACAAGAAAACCCGTGTAGTAAGCGCAAGTACTTTAGGAACCGATCAAATCATTCGAAGTTTCATTCAAATTGCATAAGTGGTATTAGAAAAGTAGTCCGAACAAACTTTAAAAATAAGATCATTAAAAGGGCCATAACTATATGAGAAAATGCCGACGATATGCACAACTAGACTTTGTACTGATCATTCCTGTGTGGATGAAATTGCACCATTAGTTTCTGAGCAGTAGCCCGGACAAGTTTTGTGACGGACAGACAGACGACGGAGAAGTAATCCCATTATGATCATATCATCATATATGTATATGTCGTCGCTACTTTGTACCAGTGACACGTCCCGGAAAAAAGAATCCCATAGCATGTTAAGCACGGGGGATCGAGGAACTGTTACACGAAGGAGTTCTTATGATAACTTGTCAAGGAGTTCTTGTGATAACTGTCAAGTTATCATAAGAACTCCATCCTTCGTGTAACACTACCTCCCACGTGTTAAGGGGTTGGATTTAAATGGAATGGATTCGTTATATTGAATCCCGCGGGGTTCGGTTAACAATAACATCATTTAGACTTTTGCCATAGAAATACAATGTAGATTAGATTTATCGTAAAATTCATACTAAACATGTTCTTATGTAGAAAAGCAAGTCTTCTTCAAAATAATAGAAATTGGAGATTAATTTCAAATTCAGTATTTATAAACGAGCAGATGTTTATTTTCAATCTCTAAAAACACCTAAACGCGGAGAAATCAAATTTTAATTAACCCCGTACCTTTAATATCCCTATTTCTGTGATGTCCGTGTGCGTGTAGTCATTAATGTTGATTGCTGAAAATGGATTTGGTAAAAACCCAACGGAATTTGTAAAATAAATGCTAAAAACAATGAACTGAATTATCCTCATATTGGTGTACTTTGTTTACATGTATAGCTGAATAAAGACGGATCCAAAGATAAGCTATATATGTGGAGATTCTTATCTAACGTCGTCACAAAGTATAGCATGAACGTAGTGTATCTAGTGCCATGTATGATGAACATAAATTCATTTGAATTTCACAATCCCATTGTGGTAGCAGGTATCTTGCTAGATTATATAGAAGAAATGTTCCAAACACATGTCAAGTATACCGAAGTACCTTATATTTATCACATGTCCACTCGACACTTTGGCCATGGACGTCCCATTTCTTTAAATATAAAAAGATGATATATAGTCCGATAGGTTATAGGAGATTAAAAATTCTACTTAATTTTACTTTTTACTTTATGCAAATATTTTCCTCTGATAGGGAGGCCGGAAAGACGCAATGTGGCCTGGTCAACTGACAGAGTTTGTTTAAAAAAATAAGCTAAGAAGACAAGAATGGAAAAGGAAATCCTGAGAACCAAAGTGTTCATTGTGTTTCATTGTTTGTTGTCTATTTAACAGTACGAAATAAGGGGAATAACTCTTTCCGCAAGATCATATAATAGCCATTGAGTTTACTTCCCTTGCGTTGTCGAAGCCGCGTGATAAAGCTTGGATTTCAAGATTATTTTTAGGTTCATTTATGGATATTTTAATAAGGCAGGTACAAAGAGGTTCCAATGCGCACATGGCTGACTTAATTCTACCATATAACAAAATAATTGCTACCAAATCGCTGTTTCCACATCAACTCTTCTAGAGTTATCACACCAAAAACTCATTGCTACCCAGATTTATTTCATTTCAACTAAATAACTCATTGCTACCACATGACTTTAATATCTCATTGCAACAACATAACTAAAGTAATTGCTACCACGTAAATTATTGAAACCACATAACTTACCTCAACTTACCTATGACAACTGCCTGATAAAGCCTGTCTGAGAACATCAACCTTTCTCAGTCAGTGACTTGAGAACACTATGTTCCTACGCCAGATCAGCACTGATGATGTTTATTGTTGGTATTGTTTAATTGACTTTGCTGAATATTTATGATGATACACAGTAAATAAATTGTTAAAACAGATTGTACCAAAAATTGTGTTGTGTTATAAAATTATTGGTAAAAACCCTCGGACTACTTTTTTGGCGTAAAACCCTCTTGTGGTTACCGTACTTTCAGAAATTTAGCGCCCCGAATTAAAAAAATAAGATGCAAAGTCATAATAAAGGCATGATAAAAAGAATAACAGGTTACTGTCTTTTGAGGAAGGGATTTCTCAGACTCGGCTAGACCATATCTAACCTCGTCTGAGAAACCCTTTCTCAAAAGACAGTAACCTGTTATTCTCTATATCCAAGCTCTGAGCAAGTAATTTTGTCCGTTTCAAATATTCTACTGAGTGAGTCTGGGCTGTTTTAAAGTCCAGGGACAATATTCGAACAGGGATGAAATGTTTAAAGATTCCAGTATGCCGACATTTCGAGTTAGTTTAATGCTTTAGGGGGAAAAAAATCCTCAAAAACTTCTCTGTTTAGGCAAGGGAAACTAAAAATCCTATCATAATCTTTTTAACTACATGTATGTTTTTCTGTAAAATTATATTCACGACTGCTATGACCTATGTTACTTTCTATGCAAGTCCATATATCATGTAGGCTTATTTATTAATATTAGCTTATAAGTATGTTACCTGAAGTTTGAAGCTGTATTCAGTATTATTTGTTTTGGGCTGGAGGCAGATTAACAATTTGACCCATACTAGTTCATAAACAATGGACTAAACATTTTGTGCTTTCCAAGCTTATTCAGGGGTACAAAAACAAGAGGGCCATGATGGCCCTGAGGTCGCTCACCTGTATATAGGCCCCCCCCCCTACCCCCAACGTTGCAGGGCCAATTTAACCCAAGGGCTTTTATTTGCACAAACTTGAAGATGTTTCATGCTAAACATCTAAGCTCTAGCTCATTGGGCTTTTTAAAAGAAGATTTTTTATAAGTTTTTACTATACACATATCGTTAAAAACAATGACACCCCTGGGGCCGGGCCAGGGCTTTTATTTGAACAAACTTTGTAGACACTTACTAGAAGATGTTTCATGCTTAATATCTAAACTCTAGCTATTTGGGTTTTTTCAAAGAAGATTTTAAGTTTTTGCTATACACATATAAAGAAAATCAATGACCCCCGGGGCGGGGCCAATTTTGACCCCAGGTCTTTTATTTGAACAAACTTTGTAGACACTCACTAAAAGATGTTTCATGCTTAATATCTTAACTCTGGCTATTTGGGTTTTTTCAAAGAAGATTTTTTAAGTTTTTGCTATACACATATAAGGAAAATCAATGACCCCCTGGGGCGGTGCCAATTTTGACCCCAGGGCTTTTATGTGAACAAACTTGGTAGACACCTATTAGAACATGTTTGATTCTAAATATCTTAGCCATAGCTTTTTGAGTTCTTTAAAAGAAGATTTTTTAAGTTTTTACTATATGCATATAGGGAAAATCAATGACCCCCCGGGGCGGGGCCAATTTTGACCCCAGGGCTTTTATTTGAACAAACTTGGTAGACACTTATTAAAACATGTTTCATGCTAAATATCTTAGCTCCAACTCTTTTGGTTCTTTAAAAGAAGATTTTTTAAGTTTTTACTATACGCATATAGGGAAAATCAATGACCCCCCTGGGCGGGGCCAATTTTGACCCTAGGGCTTTTATTTGAACCAACTTGGTAGACACCCATTAGAACATATTCCATGCTAAATATCTTAGCTCTAGCTCTTTGGGTTCTTTAAAAGAAGATTTTTTAAGTTTTTACTATATGCATATAGGGAAAATCAATGACCCCCTGGGGCAGGGCCAATTTTGACCCCAGGGCTTTTATTTGAACAAACTTGGTAGACACTCATTAGAAGATGTTTCATGCCAAATATCTAAGCTCTAGCTCTTATGGTTTTTTAAAAGAAGATATTCAAAGTTTTTTCTTTCGGTTGCCATGGCAACCAGAGTTCTGCATGGAATTAAATTCTTTGAACAATTTTTAAAGGTGACCACCAAAGGAACATTCCTGTGAAGTTTGGATGAAATTGGCTTAGTGGTTTATGAGGAGATGTCATTTAAAGTAAAAGTTTATGGACGGACGACGGACGAAAAGCGATCACAAAAGCTCACCCTGTCACTTTGTGACAGGTGAGCTAAAAACCGGACAGCTTTGAAATGAGCACAAGAGGTTAACATTCTCTTGTGAATGACAGTGCACCATAAAGCTTCAGCTGTTTGTACATGTACTTGTTGATTAGCTTGGAAAAACTCACATTTGCCAAATTTTATATATAGGTAATGCTACATGCCATATATGGTATCTAAGCTCTGGACATTGCACGTTTCACATAATTGAGGTAAACTGTGTGATGGTCACCCAGAACAATGGGCCAATTAGGGTTTTGTTTTCATCCAAAACGAAGTGCTAAATAAAACGACCCATTCTGCCAAAGGTCAAGGGGGAAAATTTCTATGTACAGGCTGAAAATACAACAGAATTTTAACAGATGAAATGGACTGCCAATCTGTTATGATAACCATGAGCTTGGGAAAGAGAAACTAAATAACTGAAAACCAAAAACAGATGTGTTTTTTTTCACTTTATTTTAATCTGTACAAAACATTTCACTCGTCATCAGCCTTGGTTGCCCTTGTGAAGATCAACTGTGAACTGTGTTTTGATACAAGCTTGATCAAACCTGAAAAATACAAACATTGCAAATGTCAAAACTTCATAATACTATCACAGACCTTTTTAAAATCAACCATAACAGTAGTGATTGAATATTATAAATCATTACCACAAGAATTTTACTAGACCATGTATCACGACTGAGGCAGTGTCTATTCTAGGAGGGGGTATGGGGGGATTCACCCCTATTTTTCAGAATTCCCCCCTATTTTTTCCGAGGCAGAGGAAAAAGTTTACATAGAGAAAGGAAAAGTATCAACAAATGTAATAAATTCTCACTTTTTGATAAAAATCCCCCCTGTTTTTCGAATCCTAGAATAGACACTGCAGAGGGTACACTAAATGAAGCTGATCAGTTTACAACTCAGATTGCAGTGTTCCCACTTCTATTTTTCATTGAGAGTATTTTTACCCCTTACCTTTGAAAATTGGGGGTAAAATAAAAATTCAGGGGGTACATAAATTTGTACAATAATATTCACTCCACACCCCCCACCCCCCCCCCCTTAGGTAAAATTCATTGTGACCAACACATACTAGCATATATCCCCATCTCAATTAATGTAACTATTATTTAAGTTATTTTAATTTATAAACAGCATATAAATTGTTACACCACACCTTTGAACAAAACAAAGCTTCCTTTTTGGTGATGTTTTTATTTAACAAAATCGGCATCGCGAAAATATGGGACAAATGAAAATTTGTCCGTTTTTCTGCAGAAACATTCACAATTCCAGTTGCTGCTGATTACAATTATATTAGAATTAATATTTTTTTAATATTTCAAGATTGTTTTTCATTGGCTATACTTACAGGCATCGTAAAACAAAAATTTCAAATTTGTAATTTACTGCAATAATTCCCAGAGGGGGGTCTGTAAACTTCATTGTGAATTGGGAGATTTTCTCACATTTCATCAATTTCAATGCTTTTTAAGTGATTTTTGTATGAGAAATTGTTCAAAAGAATAATTTTTGAATTATACATGATTAAGTTCCTGACTTTCTGTGCGTATTTTTACCCTCTTGTCTAAATTTCTGTACGTGAATTTTGGAATTTATGCGTAAAATACGCACATATGTGCGTAAATGGGAACACTGGATTGGTTATCAAGGTGTTATAACTATAAAACAATTCTCCTGCAAACATAATTTACTGAAATGTCTTAAGGAAAGAAAATGCAAACATGGCTATATAAATTCCTTCAATGCAAATCAGATTAATGCAAAATGCAACGATATAAACAAAGCAGCTGCATTTTAAAATCTCAAGGAAGTAGAGGTACTCTAAAATATGTACAACTTTTAGCATATGATGCTAACATACCTTTAGCGTTTAATTCTCGCAGACCTCTCTTGGCCAGTGATCCTCTAATCTTCAATCTTTCAGACACCACTGATGGAGTGATTAATTTATAATTGGGAACTTCTTTGTACAGTTTATCATATGTGGGCTTGTCAAACAACACCAAGTTGTTCAACTTGTCGCGGACTTTTCCCTTTGACCACTTCTGCAATACCAAACAGTTAAGTGTAAAAAACTTCATTCTATCTTACCAATTATACAATAGAAGCTATAAATTCAGCATTGTGCCTTTTTCCAGCTAAAATGGGAAATTTCAAATGTTTGAAAAACTACCAAATGCAAATGTACATTAAGCTTTATTTAAGTGTATAATCATCAAGCCTGTCACCGTTCAGGGTTTTCCACCCGAAAGTTTTAAACAACCTTGTTTTGGGCTGCATGCTGTTGGGGAATTTTTTTTTAATTGGAATCATTTAGGACTGTGAATGGGGTGTTTAATGTAATTAAGCAGAAAAGTCGGATTGCTAAAACTGAAGTTTCACGAATTTTAAAAGATTCCTATCAACAAACATTTGCTACTGCAATGACTGCATTTATTCAAATATAGCTTGAAAATGATGATATATATTGCAAGATGACTCAATAGACCTTTCAACTTTTTGCAGTAAAGATATGTAAGCAATGTCAAGTAAATCCATCTATCAATGTGTACATGTACTCGTATCATTTAATTTATATATACAATTATACATTTGGCATTTCAAACCTTTTTTTTGGCCTTTCCACCACCTTCCTTCTTCTTGGCGGGTGCAGCCTTTCCCTTAGCACCTCCTTTAGGATCTGGTTTCTTTGCTCCCTACAAAGAAATACATAGACAAGATAATATTAAATGTCTAGGCAAAGGCAAACCACATTTTTAAAAATTAGAAAATTCCCAGTCTCGCAATGAGATTGTTACCAATTAAATTAGCATTAACCCTTCCTACTTATTTAAAGAATGAAAATCTAGACATGACAAAGTTAAGTTGCACCCACAGACAGATAAAAAACTTGTTGCAATGTGTGATTGGCTGACAAATTGAAATATTTTTCTTGCAAAGAAAGTATGCATCAAATGCTCAGTGTACTGACTGGTGGTCACACATGTAATTCATATCAATGATTAAAACAGGAATTAAACATTCCTTTCAGTTCAATATTTGGCTTGAGTTTCTGGTTTTCCTTCATCAATGTGAACATCACAACGGTCTTCACTTGAATAGCTTCCAATTAAGGGGTACAATTAGGTTGTACTATCATTACTAGTCTAATATAAAATAGCTACATTTACAAATACTAAAGCTACACATTTTGTCTTGAACTTCGAAGTTGAAGAATGCAATTTTTCAGAGATAATCTTTTAACAGTTTTATAGGAATAGAATTTTGAAAACAAAGAAAACCAGACGTTAAACAGGTCTATGATTTCATGATATTTACGGACAGTCTGTAAATTTTTGGACGATCCATAATTTTACAAATTTTCTTATAGATCTGTAAATTTACAGACATTAAGTAAGAAAATAGTAGAAGTTGCATTAAAATTTAAAACCACAGGTTAAAATGAATAAGGTTTGGTATTATACGATTAAATGTAACAGTATGTTAAGATTCAGAACTGTCTGATGACTTAACAAAAAATACAAATTCATCATACAAAGACGAAACTCACCCCATTACCTTTGTAAATATAAACAATTAATAAAACAACTTGTCTGAAGCTGCGGATTTTATTGTAAAACTAAAAACAGCAAATTTCACATTTGAATATCTGTAGGTAGCAAGACACCTCACCCCCCAGACACTTCACCCCTCAAATTTTGAAGACACTTCACCCCTTAAGACACTTCACCCCCCAAAATCAGTAAGACACTTCATCCCTCATCCAATTTTTTTCTATAAAGTAAATAAAACAAGTTGGTCAACAACAAAATGCTTATATCTGTTTATATTTATTATTTTTAGTATTATTTGATTAAAAATTTTGCTTATTACCTTTATTTTTACTAAGTTTAAAGCTGATTTAGGTTAATTGGTTGTATTGCCAAATGATATATCACAGCACTTTCATCCATTAAGTGTTTATTGCATGTCACTTTGTTTATTCAACATGTTGATTAGTTGTTTATTCAACAGTTATCTCACAATTGATTAGATAATTGAATTAAAATGGTATAATTGTATGAAAATTAAATTTATTCTTAATAAATAAATTAAATAAATAAATAAAATGAATATAAATGAATATGAATGAATGAATCGGTTGCTTTATAAAATATAGTAAATATAAATTATTTATCATCATTATCAGACACAATTATCCTGCATTTAATACAAAGATCATTCATAATGTCATTTATTAAACAAATAAACAGCACCACTTATGTAAATTAAGCACAAGGTTAAAGCACAAACCATCACCAAATGAACGTAACTCAATGATTATTATATGGTAAGGATCAAACTGAATTTTTTTGCTTATTACCTTTATTTTTACTAAGTTTAAAGCTGATTTAGGTTAATTGGTTGTATTGCCAAATGATATATCACAGCACTTTCATCCATTAAGTGTTTATTGCATGTCACTTTGTTTATTCAACATGTTGATTAGTTGTTTATTCAACAGTTATCTCACAATTGATTAGATAATTGAATTAAAATGGTATAATTGTATGAAAATTAAATTTATTCTTAATAAATAAATTAAATAAATAAATAAAATGAATATAAATGAATATCAGTCTGCGAAAAATACGCAAAGCCCGAGCCCGAGTCTAGTAAAAAATCATTCGGGCTAGCTAAAAAGGCAGGGCACATAGTCCGACGGTCTTGCATTGTTTGGGAAACCGAAATGATTATAAATAGAATTTTAAACACAATGACTGGGAGGGATATAACATATTGATTTTCTTCGAGGTATTGACACGGGATTTTCCAATATACGTCGATACTATTTATAACCGCCGAGAGGGGTATAGCATATTGATTTTTTTCGGGGTATTGACACTGGTATTTCCAAAACGCCAGAGGGGTAAGCTTATTGAAATAATGCATAGACATTTTAAGCCAATCAAATACCGCGTTATTAAAATGTCAAAATGGCGCACATAGATGCATGTATTATAGAGCAAGAGCAAGATTCTGATATCAACACAGAAACAGGGCTCTCAGTAGGGTCAGAATTTCACGAGTCAAAGATTTTGGCTAAAATTTTCATGAGTCAAATAATTTTTTTCTAGTGTCATTTGACTATATACATGTATCATTTTTATGTTACAAAAAAAACTGTATTGGAGGTCATTTTTGGAGATTCCAAAGTCTAAATTGACAGAAAAAAATGCCTAATTATAAATGTCTATACCCCCACCACCTAAAAAACAAAACAAAAAACAAATAAAACAAAAACATGAATTGCTGTGAAAGAATAAAAAAAGCAGCAGCTTTTCTGATTAAATGTATAAAATATAAAAAAATATCTTTACTGGTATGCTATATCATATTAATTTTAAATACCAAAATGTACCAGGAATATTTATAAGAAATGCACAGGTACTCCAAGTATTTAAAATGAAAGACGTATTATAAACCTTCAGAAGCAATCAATAATTGACACCTCAAGTATGTAATTCTTATCAGTTGTGTAGAGCTATTTTTAGCGCTGTCAAATTGCAGCCACTGTATTGTCACGCTTCAGTGCACAGGGTATAAACAATTGCCGTGTGTAAAGCATTTATACACATCTTATACTGCCTGTTGACATTTTTTATGAGTGTGATTTGAACACATGTAGGATTTGATAGATAATTAGGGGTGGATTTAAGGTAATTATTATTGCATAGCTGAAAATCCCATGTGGAAAATTGACTCTTGAGCAGATTTTATCACGTGTCAAATATGTGCATTTCCCGATTTTCACGAGTCAAAACCCGGACCCCCGTGTCAATCGAGAGCCCTGGACAAACCTTTAGAAAGTTCTCCTCCAGAACAAGTATTTGCTGAAGAGGTATATTGCTACTTTTTGAAACATTTTTCATGAAGTTGTTAATTGTTTACTATTAAAAAAAAAAAAAAACAAGCAACCAGAATTCAGCTCTTTACCTTTACAACCCGTATTCAATTTTATACTGCAGTCTAGACTAACCATTTTTTTGTATTTTGATACTGAAATCACTTAAAACTTTAAATAATAATTATAAATTGACTGTTCCGATTTCAAAGAAAAGCTATCCATTTCACAAGTTTGCCATGTTAGCTTAGGTTTGAATTTTAATATACTTATAATATTAAAAAGTAAAACATTTGTGTTGTTTTGAAAAATTTTATTCTTATTTAATAACAATGAATTTCACTTTATTTTCCGTAATATTTTCAGCATCATAACCACGGGGAATGTTCTGACAGAGACAGCGACTCGGATTATGATTCTGGTATAGATGAAGATGAGCCTATGGAAATGAGTCAACAAGAAGTTGAAAGAAATCTATTATCTTTCAGTGTAGAATATCAGAAATAAATGTTATTCAACTGACAAAGCTTTTTATCAATTTCTTCACAATATCAGGGTTCGACACTAACTGTTTTTACCAGGGATCCCATAGGAATCCCTGAGATTTATTTCAGGGATTCCTCCTAAATTTCAGGGATTCCTCAGATCAAAATGGTAAAATATGAAGGCGAAGAATAACAAGGGAGTGCAGCAATTCGATTTTAAATTCTTTTTATTTTTGAGACTACATACAGGATATATTGCCTTGTTATGAAGTTTATGAGCCCTTTGGAAATATTGCTGTTTAAATTTTTAAAAGCATTTCAAAAAGTTAACTTTACTAGTATATATATATATATTTGGACTGCTAAGATAAATTAAAACATAATATATTTTTACATGAACATGGAAACAGAATAACATTAGGCTCACTGAACAAGAGTTCGATTTGAAATAGCTATTTTGCTAAAACCTGTTTTCTCCCTGGAGTTGATAATTGTGAACCAGTTTCTGTATCTAAATGAAGGTATAATGCAAGTGACTTGACAAGGGACTTGTGGTTTGAAATTTTGGAGTTAAGTAGGAACTGGGGAAACATTTTCCCAGATAGCCTAGGGTTCACTGAAATAGAGCCCACTTATCATCTGTAGATCTTTAAAAAATTACAGGTAAATTGATTAGGCTCCATATTCCAGAAAGGTCTGGTATGGATAACTTTTGAAAATTATTTACTTTCATGTCATTTTTAAAGAAATTCTTAATTATGATCACTTTAAAAAAATATTTGATTTCATCTTACATTTTTGTGATAATTTTTTACTTAAGCTAATAAAAATATCAAGAAAAAGTTTTGTTTGCATTACAAGTATGGTACCTTTAAATGATTTCATTTTTAAAAATAATAAGTTGCTCCAAGTCCATGACAGGATGTGCAATATCCAAATTTATTGTTCACAATTTTTATACTGAAATGTCCGATCCCTTTCCTCCCTAATTATTGATTTTTTTTAAGTTTTGACACCTGTCACATCAAAGGCACTCACCGCATACAGCAGTCATGTAGTTCACAACACTGATTGGCTCAAAGCACTGTCAGATGAAATATACGTCATTTGCTGTATATTTCGTCATTTGCTGTATGTTTCACCTAAAGATTTTTCTATTTCTTGTCGGTAAATAATGCGTGACCTTGATTGACCTTAGACTTTAGTTAGACAATGTTTTTTTTAGCATTGAAGGCTTTGAGTTTCAAAAAGGATTTTAAACTTAAAAGTATGGATTCTTTTTATTTTGTTTATTAATTATACTTTTGCTGTAGTCTACTGAAAGGTGAAAAAAATACACCAGTTATCTTTTTTTCACAATTTTGATGAAAATTTACAATGATCACAAGTGCCGAATTTTGGCAATAAAAAAACCAAACAACAAACACTGGATAACTTTGTAGCTACCGACGGCATTGCCGATCAACACAAATTAGAAGTACACATCGCTTGTGTAATAATTATACGATAATTACATTTCTTTTTTGAATTTTCACAACTCTATTTTATGAAGTCAATGCATAATATAAAATTATTCAAGAATGTTTCTTTAGCCAAAACATTTTTTTCATTATATATCGCAAATGAGTTGATAGCAGTCACTGCACATAGAAAAAATAGCATACATAATTCAAGAGTGTAGATTTTACCGGCGGGGTTTTTCCACTTTTCTTGTATATTTGTGATATTAATTCAGAAAATTTCAAAAATTTACACAGCAATTTTTCAGGGATCCAAACGGAATCCCCAGCTAGGAATCACAGAGATTCCTCCCGACTTTTTGGGATCCTCGGAATCCCGGGACCCCGTTAATGTCGAACCCTGAATATATATAAATTTGAAAACCTGGCCAAATTATGAAAAATTTTGTATGAATTTTCGGGCTACCTAAAATTTGTTCCGGCTATGTGATATTTTAATGGACCAAGCCCGAATGTCTTTGTCCATAAAAAGTTTTTCGTGCAGACTGGAATATGAATGAATGAATCGGTTGCTTTATAAAATATAGTAAATATAAATTATTTATCATCATTATCAGACACAATTATCCTGCATTTAATACAAAGATCATTCATAATGTCATTTATTAATCAAATAAACAGCACCACTTATGTAAATTAAGCACAAGGTTAAAGCACAAACCATCACCAAATGAACGTAACTCAATGATTATTATATGGTAAGGATCAAACTGAAAACAAACTTAAGTACCAAAACTTAAAGAATTAAATCAACTCAAAATTTATTAGACAATGGGTTAAAACAATAAACATACTCAATCACTATTGAATGTATTTAACATAATCTACATAAATAATTGGCATAATTGTTAAACACAAAATAAAAAAATGAGGGGTGAAGTGTCTCAATCAAATTTCTTAAAATGAGGGGTGAACTGTCTGAGGGGTGAAGTGTCTGCAAAAAAGGGCCTAGGGTGAAGTGTCTGGGGGGTGAAGTGTCTGTAAGCCTATCTGTAAATTTATGGATTGAAAAATCTTTAAATTTTTAGACTGTCTATAAATTTACGGACAGTCCATAAATATCATGAAATCCTAGACGTATTAAACCTAAAGAATTATTTAGACCGGAAAACAAGCGCTGCGACTATGACGGTCAATATATATCTGCAGAATTTTCTCCAGAACAGAACCGCATGGTCAGACACGCGAAAACTAATGGCATCACGGTGATTCAACGTGAGCCAGTTGTATGTCAGTTTAGGGAAAAAATCGGCATCTGAAAGTGTTGACTGAACATTACAATTGCATAGAATGGGACAATGTCTTAAATTCAACTCGTTAACTAAGTGAATTTAACTTTTTAGTCACATACCATGTTGCTTTCGGGAGTCCCACGTGAAAAAGAGGCTGTTTACCCACAATTCCCGTTGATATTGCTTAATCATTGAAAAAAAATTGTGATTTTATTACGATTAAAAAGTTACAAATGGGAATTAAAGTAGTAAGAAAGATGAAATAATTGCTAAGACATTTTGTAAATATACTTTGTAACGTGAATTTAATTTAAAAACTTAAATGAATTATACAATATTTGAGTATTTTTTTATGTTTAAGCGATCGTCGCAATGCTCTGCGCAGAGAAGTGGAAAACGGATTTGGTGACTTTTACTTTCACTTTTAATTTTGTAGTTATTCTGTTTAAACATCTAAAATAACAAAATCCACAGCTTTTTAATTTGAAAATTATGTAGTGAAATTTAAATGCACAATTTATAATAGCAAGAAATGAAGGATATCATATGAACCTCAATATTTTTTCTTAGCTTCCACTCTTGAACCACCAATGTATATCTCATGGCCAAGTGATTTTTTATATATTATTTTGACTTGGTCACTTAAACATGACTGTTGAACAATCAAGTTTAAATAGTGTAAGTTTCAATAGTGTAAGAAAAACATAAAGTCGAACTTTGTTCGCTTGAACTCGGAGGGCCTGTTTTGTTGGGGAGAACGGTAGTTCGAGCCACGGATTTATATTACAAATATAAATCCGTGTTCGAGCCAACCAAGGTTGGACTATTACCACATGGGACATAGACCTCAAGGTTTCCCAGCTTACATCAGTCAAGTGATAAATACCTCAATAGAATTGTTTGTTAGTACATCAGTTTGTCTAATATGTCATTTCTTTTTAAATATTTAAATATTATCTTAGTGTTTTCAAATGAATATTAATTTTATACTGTGTCAATCTATATTCATGCATATTGTAATTGGTTGAGTTCAATTGGGCAACCATTTTCACAACTTGTTGAACAATTTTCAAAACATATTTATATGTTTATTATGGGATAAATAATAAATTTTAATTTAAACAATGAATTTATAAAATACACAAAAAAAACAACATTTTACAGCAGCATCTATTTGTAGTCATTTACTATATTAAACACATGTACATATGATTCTAGAAATGGTAACACTGTTGCTATTTAGGTACATGCACCACAGCTGTAATAAAAGCCGTCCGTGTAAACATCATTTATATATTGACTTTTGCATATTTCACAAGTTATTTTCTTTTTATATTTACTAAAGATGGCAAATAAACAATATTATCATAACAAAGAAATTGGTTACAACAACTCTAATTTTGTATCAATTAACCTTAATTGCCTTTATCATGATCACGAGGTGTTAAAAACATATGTCGCCGACTGTCACTTATTTAGAACATGTCAACCAGCAACATTTTGTCTTTTTGTGTTCGACAGAAAAGGTGTGATTTTCGCCATATTTCTGCCAGAGGGGCCAGAGCTCAGGTTGGAGAGATCGAGCGATTGGTTTTTGAGCCATCCAAGGTAGAACAATTTATATTAAATAGGAATTTTGCCAGGACTTCGCCATGAGTTCGAGTGAAGGGAGGTTTTGGGGTGATTTTTTTACATGAAATAGAGATTTTTCCAACTTTAGATGAGAATATTATTTGGTAAAAACAGCCAATATTTGTTTTCTTGGTGACAATGTTAAGAATATTAATGAATATGCTAATATAGGTGAAAGGTAAAGACGAGAATGGCAGACACATTTCAAGACATCTGTTGGGGTGTGATAAGAGGCTTTCAGGATGCAGTGTTAGGATCAATGAAGATATTTAAATTAGATTCTGAACAAGTGGAGGGAAAGGAACAGCAACAAAAGTTAACCACACTAGCTAGACGTAGAGCTGAAAAACAGAAACAAACTAATAAAACGGAAAAGAAGGAAAGGTAATATTTTACCCCGAACCTGCTGTTACTGAAAGCAATTCAAATAAGCCATCAGTGTAGAGCCAGACAAATTAGCCTTCACCTCCATGACGTCTGACCAGGCTTTATAACGTATTGTTTCTATTTAATGTCCCAGGGGCTTGCTTTTTCTTTAAAAAAAAAAATGGCAAATTAGAACTTTAAAAATGTACTTTAAAACATGATTATTAAAGATCTTGTAACTCATTTTTTATGGTTTTATATCATAAATAGAATGCTCAAAGGAAGATTTATTAATATTGTAAGTTCCAGAAAGCAATTAATATTTGTAAAAATATTACCGAATTTACATTTCATGGAAATAAAGGGAGGTAATTAGAAATCTTTTTTTGATAAAGTCTAAGCCAAATTTTTTAATAAGAAATGAATGCATATATTTTATTGATTACAGTACATACTTAACATATTCTTTGATGTTTGGAAACTGTTTTAGAAGAATAATTATAGTATACATATATAAATTTTCTAACATCCTTAACATGCAGGATCTATTCAATTCAATTATAAGAATCATTATTCATTATTATGATTTTATAATATATAATGCAGGATTATTTTTTAATGAGTATTTTTACATTATTGACATGTCATTAATTGTTATTTTTTAAATAAAAATATTTAGATTTTTTGGATTGCTGTTTCATTATAAATGGGTAAATGGGTTGAAAATCTATAATGTAAGATTTTTTTTCATCCTCACAATTTTGTTGGTGGGAATAACCTTTTTTTTTTTTTTTTTAGTTTTTAACATATTCATTTCCATTTCAGTGAACCAAAAGTAACACATAGGATATTTCAGTGTTGTGCTTGGAATGGTGGTGTTTTCTGGGTATACATTAGTTACCATGCATATTGTTTTATAAAAACTTTGATAAATTACATGTTAAAAGAATGAATTGATTGACTTTAACTCAACACTAAGAGATTATACTTATGTGTTTCCAATTAACCTGCCTATACCCTATCATAGGCTATGCTTGACACAGATCTTTTATATATAGTCACATGATTTTGATAAGATTTCACTTTATTTCTAAAGTAGAATAATATCTCGGCTTCATGAAATATATATTGAGTTGGCTATAGAGGTCATATGGCATCTGTGGAGGAAGATATAAGTTGCCCTGAAGTGGGTTGTTTCTGGAAGGAGGGGGCTCCATAGTAGAATCACTAATCTTCAATAAGCTAGCTATGTAGCTTCAGTCCATGAAAGACTTGGATGCCCTTGGCAGGATTCCAACCCACTCTCACTGACATGAGCCTTGAGGGGCAAGTGATTTACAGTTTGCAAAGTATTTCAGACATAGTAACTCTCTATAAGATATGATTTTGTCATGTTGGTATTATTGTTGTAATAAGTAAGAATTATGACATCACCAATGACATCATAGATGTATAATTCTTTTCTGTTGTCTTAAAAATGTCTTCTTTTTTATAGATGAGCATATTGCTGTTTAACTATGTGTTACTGCCTGGCCTGCATCAGATGACTTCACTTATATCAGGTATTTTTTTATTTATTTACAATTGATAGATTTATCAAAATGAAATAGACAATATTTATGTCTGTAAACTGCAGTAAAATGAGACTAACTGAGTTTTTGTATGATAATTTTGTTGTGGAATTTAGTAAGAATTTAATGAATTGCATCTTATTTTACATTTTCGGTTCAGTTGAACAAATTAAGAAAAAACAAGGTATCTCTTGCCCAATAAACTGTAAATGAAGTGATTATAAGTAGGCTTACTACTAGCAATACTTAATATATTCTTTACATTATCTTTGATGACATTAGTTGGGCATATAATGTGTTAGAATGAGGAATTGTATGTGTATAGCAGTTTTATGCCATGGATATAATGAGAGGCTGTTTTTCATTTAGCGTCATAAATTCCATGGAATGTGGTTAAGATTTTTGACGCAATTATATTCACTTTACCACTATGGGTTCAAAAAGACAGCAGGAATGCAGAATTATAACATGTAAATAAACTGTTCAACTAAGCTTTAGAATGGTCAGTGGTTCTACTAATAGGTGAAGTATTGCATGAAGTCTTCCTCTACCAGTAAAGCTGAAAAATTGTTATAGACTGGTAACCATGCTACTGTTAATCATTTGAACCCCACCACGACAAAACCAACATAGTGCATTTCCAACCAGCATGGACATCAGGATCCATGCTGTTCGCTTGTAAAACCTATAACAAATAGAGAAAATGATAGTGGACAGCATGGATCCTGATCTGGATCCATGCTGGTGGCAAACACATTTTGTTGGTTTTGTCATGGGGTGGCTGACATTTGATGAAAAATATACCAAAAATCATCGTCTGAAACATTTAACAGCCATTGGATTTTTCACCGATATCCATTGGATAAGTGGTGTGTCAAAGACAGCTTTTTCATTGGTTGCCTTATGATTTCATGAGGCGATTAAAACCAATCAAAGTGCTCGTTCTATACGACGTTTGGTGAAAGGTTAATTCTAGTAAAAATATTACTATTGTGGTCTCTGCTTTTGGAATAATTTATTTGGGGATAGCTTTGCCTTTTGTATTGGCAAGACACTGGGAACAGGTTTACATCATGGGCTCTGCTATTTTGTTTGTGATAGTTGTTTATCTTTGCTGTCCAGAATATAAATTTTGCTAAACAAGATTTCATTGGTCTATACTTTATGAATCTGTTGCTGTATATCAACACATTTTGATTCATTTTACCCACTGTTGATTACATGTTATGTTACATGTTAATCAATCGTGGGTATTCTACAATAACCAGATTTAACATGGCAATATACATGTTCATACTTGTAGCATGATGTATTTAAATAAGATATTTTCAAAATGTTTTCTTATATATTACACAGATCTATATATTTGCAGAATTCTATGAGGAGGGTAATAAATCTGTTGAATGATTCTAGAATTTCTATAGTAGACATAGAATGTATAATTGTAATACATGTATATTATTGTATACGTCAGGTTCAACAGAAACTGGTCTGATCTGGTCATGGATGGGACCTATGTTAACATGGACATTCAGCGCCCTCTGGATTCTACCTCTGTTTGTCCTCAGTAAAATTGTCAACTGTTTCTGGTTTGCAGTAAGTTTATCATTTCTCTGAATACATGTTTACACATAAGTTGATTTAATACCAGCCATTTCTTTGATCTTTTCCTTGGAAGTTGTAAAATTTTATTTTCTACCTTTTCCCATAAAAGATTTTATCTTACACCTTGTAAAAATGTTACCAATAAGCTTCCAGCATTTGTTGCTGATATTTGAACACCATCTGATGTTCAAATATAATTGGATTCAATTTTATCAATTTAGCCTTGTTTTCATTTCCTAAGTCCAAATTATCTGTATCTAATGCATATTTAACTCTTTCTAGCCTCGTTTTTAATTTCTGAGTGCAAATAATACATTTTAGAGTTAAAAAAATTCATATCAAATCAATATTGTACCTGAAGTACATGTAACTTTTATCTTCAATTTAACACAAAAACACTGTTGTTTTTTAGTGATATTTGTCTGATGTTTTACTAGAAACAAATGCCTGAGCATGTGTGTGCATATTTCTTAGCCTATTTATATTTTAGACACAGAAATAGTTGTTTTTAATTTGTGTCTTTTAAAAAACATTTTCTTAAAACAATGAATCTGAATAGGTGCCTGTATTAATGTCCATGTGTAGCATTTTATATTATGCAACCATTTTGGGGGGTTGGGGTGCATATAGATTTACCTGTGTCCATCTGTCATGCAGTCAGTCCATAGGCTGACAAAACAGTGGAATATGTAGGGAATTTGTATTGTATAATGATTTGGTTTATTGCTTTTTTATTGCTTGAATTGAAATTTCTCAAGTTTTAACTGTTATATTTTTCTCACTGTTTAATTTGTTTTATCTTGTGACAGGACATAGCAGATGCTGCCTATAGGAAGGTAAGAGGCCGTCCACAGTTACCCAACATCAGTATTTTCATAGCAGATATGATGTTTAGTCTCGTGATACAGATATTCTTCCTTCTACAGGTATGTGTTGGTATGAACTGGTAACAATAACAACTCATCATCCAATTTAAAGGTTATTTATGAAGTTTTTTCAAGTTCACCTTTTTAAAAAATTGATCAATATTTGAAATACATTGATACATGTTGTTAATATAATTAAAATATCGTGTATACACATATTTATTCCATACCATTACTAAGAAAAGTAAATTTGTCAGTTCTAACAGAGACTTGAGCGGTATTTTTTCCTAATTTCTTTGTTTCCATGTGTCTGGAAAAAAAACCCTGAAGCTTGCTAGGAATGGGCATTTACATGTATATAGCATTAATAACTTATTCAAAAATTATTCCCTAAATATTCAAAGATTCTAAGTATATTAGTGATTAGATTGAAATCTAGTACTGTGTAAATAGGTTTTTCAATTATGTAGTCATAGCCAATTTGTTTCTCAAAGTAATTAGTACGGATTCTGTCAGGGCAGCTTGCATGTCTGTGCCTAACAGTTTGGCCCTATACTGTTAGTAGTTCAACTTTTGTATTTTTATACAAAATACACAAGTTCTTTTTTGACCCCTGATGTTGCTTTGAAGTTTGTAACACCCAAGGTTAGTTAAAATTATCTTTCCTGTTTTGGCGCCATATGACCTAGACTTAGTTAGTATGCCTTAAAAACCAAAAAACAAACACAAATCCTTCCAAATTGTAAACATCATAGTTGACAAAGAAGATACATGTTTGTATGTTGTTGTTTGTTTCAGGGGACAGCGGCCAGTTTTTTACCGTTGCCAGCTGTAGGTCAAGTGATAAGTGTTCTTCACATGAGTTTACTGTATTCACTGTACTCGTTCGAGTATAAATGGATAAATATGGGTGAGCTTTTATACATAGTGTGATAGACAGACAACTTTTAAAATATTTACAAATATTTTGAAATAAGATTCTTAAGCTGTGACAATTACGCTAATTTGAAAATTATTGTTCCGGTGGTAAAAGTTCATGACAATGTTTGCCCTTTTCGCAAGTTCATAAAAAAATCACGGAAGTGTAAACCTGCGAAAAATTACATCAGCTTAAGTTCCTTTGACGTTTGGTAATGAGACAAATATTTGATACCATTGAATTATTGATACATCTGACAGACATCACCTGTATCTGACAAGGCATGTACCGTACTCAAACATTATTCTTTGTACTTAACTTGATTTGCATTGTGATAATTATAAAGAGGTCAAAAACAAGTATCAGTTGACTTTTCAATGATCAGACTTTTGGTTTTCCTATGAATTAAAAGATACGATACAGGTAAAGTTCAGGGGGCATCCCTTGTCTTCAAACCACTTGCACCTCACAGCTATGGGTTTGAATCTCATCAAGGATTGGCTTCTTTCCTGTGCAGAAGCTATCCAGCAAGCTCTCAGAATGTTGGTGGTTCTACTCTACTCAGGTGCCTTAAGGTCTTCCACCAGTAAAGCTGGAGAATTGCCTATACTGTGTTAGTGTGAAGTAAAACCCAACTTAAAAAAAGCAGACTAAAGTCGTCTGCTATGAATATACGTCATACAAGATCATACAAGAAAGCACACCTGGTAGCATTTAGTTGAATGAATGAGATCAGTATATTAAATAGATAGTCAGCCTGGGTGACAAGATCATGTATGATAAATGATTTAGTGTAATATTTTCCACTTGTAGGATGGGAATTACATAAAAGACTGTCTCATATAGAGCTAAGCTGGCCGTATTTCTTTGGGTTTGGATTGCCAATGGCGGTGCTGACAGCTTTACCATCTTCTCTTGTTGTCAGGTACATAAAATATTGTTAATTGATTAACTTTTACTATGCAAAATATCTTAAAGGGACTTGCCTATCTGTCAATCTCGACTTTCTATTTTAACATTTTTATTTAAAATTGTAAAATATTTACACTGTGTGTTTATCTTGGTTATATTTCAGTGTTTATCTTGTTATATTTCAACGGCTGTGTGTTTTCTATATTGTTCCCAGTGTTTATCTTGTTATATTTCAGCGGCTGTGTGTTTTCTATATTGTTTCCAGTGTTTATCTTGTTATATTTCAGCGGCTGTGTGTTTTCTATATTGTTTCCAGTGTTTATCTTGTTATATTTCAGTGTTTATCTTGTTATATTTCAGTGGCTGTGTGTTTTCTATATTGTTTCCAGTGTTTATCTTGTTATATTTCAGCGGCTGTGTGTTTTCTATATTGTTCCCAGTGTTTATCATCAGTGCCAATGAAGCTCAAGATGCTCAACAACAATTGTAAGATTTTAACTTTTTCCTTTTGAAATATAATTAAATTTAATTAATCATTGAAACATTTATCATAAGAGCAATAGCCCCTCTGTATCCTTTTAATATTATTTTTATGATTTAATAACTGAACTAAGTTTGTATAGAACATATTTAAAAATCCGGAAAAAGGGAGGTCCCTCCAGAGCGGTGACAGCAATTGTTAAATGGTGATAATTGTAGACTCAGTTTGATCGAGTCTGTTCATGAGAGATAACAAATGGTGTAATCTCTCTCATCCTAGCACCCAGCTTAGGTTGTCTACTTTTGAGTTAGGTAATAAAAAAAGGAAGAAATGATCAGTTTTTTTCCCAGCGTTTTTTTGTGTGGGTTTTTAGTCACAGCAAGACTGTTCAAGTCAAAAAGGCGACTTTCCAGTTTTACTGTTTCTTGAATGCCTTAGGTGTCCGTCTGTGTATTATTTCAGGCACATGTTGGCTTTTATTAAGCAGCCTTTTCTTAAGCTACCTTACCTTCCTTAGCTACATGAATAGTTTCAATGCATGAAAGAATCAAAAGTCCATGTTGGGATGCAAACCCTCTGTGAGGAGATGATAGTGAATTTTAAGTCAACTGACTTAACTTTCGGCAGTAGAGGCTTTTTGTAAGTGTTTACCTGCACCATGCAACTGATGATGTATTTGAGATTTTTACTTAATTTGTATTTAAATTACTTTCTTGTTGTTAAATTTAATTGTGTTTATTTCTCTTTTTTTGTCTCCAGCATGATTCCATTGAGATTGTTCGCCCCTGTAGTATCGTTGACTAACACACTGTTTCATATTACCACCAAGGGCAGTGAATCCACCTCCACTCCTGCCAACAGACCGATGACGACGCGTCAGTCTCGCACACAGGAGAACGTTACGTTCAGATGACACCAGTAATTATTGGCGGCCATTTTAATGCAATATACATTATAAATTATTCCAAATATGTTGTTAACATGTTGAGTATTGTGTGTATTAAGTATGAGGATCACACATCAAGATATGTCAAAACTCTAGAGTGGTATGGTGATTTGTTGATACTAACAGCTAATGAGTCTAAATACTTTTATTTGCTCACCTGAATTTCAAATAAGGCACTCAAAATTAACAGAGTTTCCTTGTCAGAAAGTATGAATTGCAATTTATATTGAATTGTGTTTTAACATGTTATTTTTGTATGAATTTGTAAAAGGCTCATTATACCTCATTAATGCTATCACTTTTTATTTCTCAAAAACTTTTTATTTTTGTTATCTTGTTACAGTTTTCAAAAAATACAGAATACATGAAATATCTTTAGCTTCTTTTGCTCTTTTTGGCAATTAGTGAATTAGTATTTTGTATGGAAGTCAAAGTACTAATTTGTATACATTTTGCTACCTTTACGACACATAACTGCACATTAAGCGCTACTTTTTTAGTTACGGTATTACAGATCTATTATGCTCTTATTCCATTGTTAGGACATTATTAAACACATGTTTGACATTTGTAAATTTCTTGAATTTAAAGATATGGATTTCTGAAGCATAATATGCGTTTCATTTTTCGTTTTTATGTTATTGATATCCAAGCAATTCATATTTTCTATACTTAGGATCAAATAGGTCCCAAATGACTCATTAAGTTATGTTACCTGTTTAATCCTAAAATCCAATTTTAGCACCTGCTTCAATGTACAACTATTTTTGAAATTGTTGCCATAGTTATGTGTGATATAAAATGCATGCAAAAAATAATTGTGGACCTGTTATGAGTTAGTCTGGTGAAAATCTAAACAATGTAGTAGAATTTTACTAAATATGCTTTTATGTGTTAGTTTATATTTTGAGTTATCTTAAAGGGACTCGACTGAGGTTGTTTGTCATGATGGGACTGGATATGATTTTTACAGATTTTTTTACAGTAACTTGTATGCAAAATTTCAGATCTTTGGCTCACTCTGTTTTTCCAGAATGATTATTCTAATTATGAAAAATGACACAAAATTGAAAACGCTTAAAACTCAATTCGACCAAAGAATAGCACAAAAATGTAATTTTCAATTAATTTTCTGAGTATTTTCCTTAATTATCTTTAGCATATTTTTCTGTTTAAGTGCCCTAGCTGATCTATGTAAGAAATTCAAATTTTGTTTTTAGACTTTTGGACCTCAGTGGAGTTCCTTTAAAATTGACTCTTTACTTTTTTCAAATTGTTTTGGTGATTTATATTATTATTCCTGAATTTTATCCGATGTAAATTCATTTTTGGTTGCATATCAGCAATTTTTAACACATAACATATACTGTCTATAAGTGTTTTATGTCCGATATTATCAATGTAAGTTTCTTATAGCTATGAAAATAGCATAAGGATCATATTTTTGGGGTTTTTTTTGTCTATCACAAAGCCAAGGGTATTCATCCGGCAGTAAAATAGCCTAAATAAGGAAGAGAAACTAAACTTTGAGAAAAATGAACTAAAATTTTCAGAAAAGTATAAATATTCTCGAGTGATGATTTACTTGTTGACTTTGTGGTATTAACTGCAAAATCAGTCATTATACATTTTTTTCTTAAAATCTTAGCACATGAAGTTAGATTTTCTTGAAATATACATGTATTTAAGCTTATCTGGAGGCATGCAGTTTTAATGTATAACAATTTTCCATGACAATCAAGTTAGTTCATTATGGAAACATTATGATATATCAAAAAGAGCTACATCCATGAATGTAATTATACACACATCAATGTAGTGTAATAACATATCCAAACATTTTAAAACCTGAGCAAAATTAATACAACTAAACCTATAGGGAATGGGATGGTTATAGCCATTATGTAGGTACCTGCTTAACTTACGTTACAGTATACAGTAACTAGTAATTTTATTATTTGTTCTGTGGCAGAACATTTGTTTTATTGGTTAAAGATAAATATGGAATGTAAGATAAATTTTGATAACATATTGCATATCTATTATAGTATACTAACAATTAAAAAAACTATTCCTGGACGATATAAACAATGTTAATGTATTCAGCTCTTGTATGTTTCTTTTCTTTCTTTTAGAAAAACATGTTGAAATGTTTCTAATAGAATATTTTTGTTTGTTTGTTTGTTTTTGGGGTAATTTATGGATTGTTTTATAATTTTCTATATGTAAGAAAGCTTATGTGGATTAAGGAGTTCTCAGTTCTGATTTCATTTTCCTGACATCATCTGACCTTTAAACCTTACAATGCTATATCAAAAATATACAACATCCATTGCCACCAGTATAGATCTAAGCCAGTCTACACATCTTTGCAGTCTGATCACCCTTTTACTATCACAGACCTATTTCAAACTTTCAACCTGACATCCCTAAAATGATAATGAAAAGTTCCAAATCTGCAAGCTGGACAAGTCCATTTAAGAAATTCAGTAGGATAATAAGAGTAAATATACAACCATTGTAACTGAATAGATCAAGATCAAACTGGAAGCAGCTCATCAAAAATCAAACTTAATACAATTGTATTGAGAAAAGTATAAATATTCACAAGAAAATTTAACACTTACAGGTTACTGTGTTAAGTTGTTAACAACACGGAAATATTGATGATTTTCCCAAAATGATGAAAATCGGGAACATTTCCCCTAGCGTAATTATCAACCAACATATCATTAAATTCTACCATTGCACAATTCGCCAATATTTCCTCCCGCCAAATATCTGAAATTTTAAATTTGCTAACTTTCCGACACAAGGAAGAATATTGTACATACATTTTTTTCCAAATTTGAAGTTTGAATCACATTGTATTTGTAGACTGTAGATGATTTTACAGTATAGATTGTAAAGTTGACGATGTTTTTAATGTAAGCCTATTTGATTCCATATGATATTTTTAACAGCTTAATTAACATTTTTTGTTTTATATGAAATAGAAAATAAAAGTGATTTGTTTTGTTTTATATATTGTATGTTTTTAATGAGATATTGTGAAATATCAGTGAGATATAAGTCATATCACACTCTAAAACTGAACGAGATATAGATTGTGGTTCCTGTTCTATACAGTACATTCTTTTTTTTGTGTGTGTGTTTAACCTTGCACATCATATGGCGACTTTCTAGCTTTATTGCTAGAGGAAGACCTCAGAAGCCCTTCTGTGCATTATTTAAGGTGTGAACGGGCACCTGAGAAGAACCACTGACATTCCCTATGCTAGCTGGATAGCTTCTTCACACAATTCATATTATTGTGTTCAAACACATATAGCTAGGACATCCATGTCTTTTAGACACATTTCTAGTTTTATAGATGTATTACTATCTCAAGGTCTGATAACTATTATTCATAAACAATTTGCTTCTATTGAAGAAACGTTGCTCAATAGATACTATTCTCCACACAACTGATTATTTTGATGAAAAGCAGTTTTTATTAGCTCGACTTTTTTTGAAAAAAAAAGTAGAGGTATTGTTATAGTCGCGGCGGCGTTGCCGGTTTAATTACTGAATTTTCTCAGGTTTGTGCATTAAATGACCATATATATTTATTGGTGTGTGTATATATATATATATATATATACATGTATATATATAAAAATAGATATCTATCATCATCATCGTCGTCAACATTTTTAGAATTGCGTCTTTCTTTTTTAAGAATTGCGTCTTTCTATTTTAAGAATTGCGTCTTTCTATTTATAGAATTGCATGTTTCTATTTTTAGAATTGCCTGTTATTATTTTTAGAATTGCGTGTTTCTATTTATAGAATTGTGTGTTTCTATTTATAGAATTGCGTGTTTCTATATATATATAAATGTACAAAATATATAGACAAAACTAATGTGACAAGACAGACCGATTAAATTTATAAAAACAGACGATTAAATTTATAAAAAGGAAACGTTAAGATTTGTTCAAACCTTTCTTTGTTTGCTTTTAGAAAATGTAAAAAGTCGAGCGTTGCCACCGCCCGGCGGTGGCCCTTGTTTTCAATCCGAATCAACTGTCCCTGTTCAGAAATATTGCAAAAATGAATGCTACATTAAATAAATTTCATTAAAAAAGAAATAGCTACATTTTTCTACAAACATAATTCTACAACCTCATTGTGGCGAAATCAGAAGTACGATTTCTATTTGCATGAGAAACTCCGCCTTTGGGTCATCCGTACATCAATAGAAAATCAACAAACACTTTTAAGTAGCAGTCTGAATTTAACGGTATATTTTCCATATTATATTAAGGATGTTTTCATACAAATTCAATCTTTATGAGATGATTACTCTGTGAAACTTAAACGGTAAAAGTTTGTATGCACAAGAATATCTCCTATTTGCTGTGATCCTCATGGTTACAATTGATTTTATTATTGTGACAAAACGCATACACAAGCTCATTATACATGCAGTCTTCATTTGCATGTTAAAATTCATATACAAACTTAAGTGTTGCCGTTAGATTTTCCTTTTAAAATCATAACTTTAGAACAATTTTTTATGAGATTTACAACAATACTGTTAAAAATGTTAACGAAACTATAGAATGCTTGGTTTGTAAGCAGATGGAAAAATATGTTTACATATTTTTATTTAATGTAGCTTTAACTACCATTGGAAATATCCTTTTCCAGCTTCAAATTATAGAAAATCTTCACCTTTCACACAAAGCATTTTTAGTTGCTGATTAAAGCCTCATTTTAATCAGACTGATGAAACAATCTATTTAGATATAAAATGTACACATAAGATATCTTTTGTAATGAAAATGGGTAAGTGTGCTTTAGACAAAAATATCAAGGACATCATTATTTATATCTTGTGAAAAAGAACTTCTCATACTTGGAAAATTATACACAAGCTAAAGGGTCAAAGTGCATGTCCATCACAATATAATCTACTGTGTAAAAAATTCCAGAAGTAAAATTACTAATAGTTAAGTTTAATAACTGCATGTTTTTTTTAGTTTATTGAAGCTTATCCAACCAGGATTACCTTAAGATAAGGTCTCTCAAAAACAACAACAACAACAGAATCAAGTTAAAATCTTTCTCTTTTTTTCTTTAATGACATAATATGACACCATACAAATTTACAGAATCAATAACCGTTCAAGTCCCACAAATAGTTGGATCAAACATTCAAATATACAAACACATATATACATGTTTATACCAGAGATATATTTCTTATTAAGTAACAAATTTTTTATGTAAGATAACTTAAGACCAATTTGGCATAAAGTAAGTTACAGTACAACCTCTTCAGAAGAACCCCCTTTAGAAGTAATATCTAACTGTACATCATTAACCCCTATCTATTATTTCTAATTTTAATAAATAAAATGGAAACATCAAATGCATATCTCAATACAAACTAAAAGAATATTAAAATATTACTTTCTTAACTTTAAGCCTCATTATATGACAATTCTATATGCTTAAGAAAAAAGTAATCCATAATATATAGAAAAACAGTTTTAATGACACATCAAGAAATGTGCACTACATAGCTTTAATGGTGTCCCTCTTTTTGCTTATACAAATAAAAATTATTACTTTAGAACTTTAATTTATTAAGGATCATAATTATTATTTGACTTATAAAATTTAACAAGTTAATCCAAAGCAAGAATGTTAAATTAAAACAAGAGCTGTCCGTAAGACAGCGCGCTCGACTTTTTTATTGCTTGCCAATAAAAAAAGTTTTTGCAGTAAAAGGCAATACAAGAATCTCTGTATTTTTAAAGTGAACAATGGCCATGAGCATTAAGATATTTAGTGAAGAATTATTTTACTGAATTGTGTGATACCCTTGAACACTGCAGCAAAGTGCTTGCCTATAATACAAAACATTGACAGTTAAGGGCCATAATTCAAATAAAATCTTTGACAGAATTACCTTCTCCTGGACATGTTTGGGAATCATGATTGTAAACAAGTATTCCAACTTTCAAATTAATATCTCAAACAGTTCAGTCAAAAAGTGGACTGGTACTAAAAACTTAACCAAGATTCTAAGTCGATAAAAGGCCTTAATTTTTAAAACAAATCCTTGACAGAGTTACCTTCTCTTGCGTACAGATGGGGGTAATGATGTGAAATAGCATTAAAAGTTTCAAAGCAATATCTCAAAGGGTTAAGGCAATAAGTGGATTTTACCCATATTCAATGTATTTTCTAAGTCAAAAAGGGGCATAATTCTGTCAAAAACCTTGACAGAGTTATGTCCTCTTGTCTGTTGATGAAGGTCGTGATGGTAAACAAGTATGGTCAGTTTCAAAGCAATACCTGCAATGGTTTTGAAATAAAGTGAGGTGGTACAAAAAACTTAACCAAGCTCAATACACTTTCTAAGTCAAAAAAGGGCCATAATTCTGTCAAAAACCTTGACAGAGTTATGTACTCTTGTCTGTAGATGGAGGTTATGATGGTGAACAAGTATGGTAAGTTTCAAAGCCATACTTGTAATACTTCTGAAATAAAGTGGGGTGGTACGAAAAACTTAACCAAGGTGTGACGCCGACGCCGACGCCGGGGCGAGTAGGATAGCTCCCCTTTTCATAGAAAAGTCGAGCTAATGATATCATTCCTAAGTGAAATATATTTTTCGTGAAACAATGTGAGATATATTTCATCAGATCTATCTAGCAATGTCATGATTACATCTTATTTTTTTTCCTATTCGATTAAACCTCGTAACCTGTGATTTGTTTTGCCCCCAGAATAGAGCTAAACCAGCCTGCACTTCATACAGTCTGGCTTGGCTCTTAAATTGTTGGTAGCTCAAATCTCTGAAACACTGGATTTACTGTCCCAAATAAAAAACCTGGCAAATCTATTGCACAAAAATCAGTAGGTTAAGTGAAATTATGATTCAAACACACATGTAGTTCCCACAATTTCTTTCCCATATATATTATATATGTAATACACATTGTAAGAATAAAGAAAACTGGCATGTAAAATGATGTCGGGCATGACCACTATAGACTGTATGATGCCAGGTAAATAACTTTTCCACCGAATGTAGTCCAGCAATTTCAATATTTTATATTCTATATTTGTGTAAGAATAATGCTAGGAAATTGATGTATAAAAAGCCTCATTGTTAGTTTATTTTACTACATAGATATTATTTAAATTTTGTGCATACACTTTATAAAATAAATTTTCATTCGTGCTAAAAAGACTCATTTTAAAGCGTGCAGACAAAATCAGTCTAGAAACCATGTATTTCATCTATAAAATTATAGGCATTGTTACTAAGCTATTCCCTTTAAAGCAAGCAGCCGTCTAAAAAAAATTTCCTGGGTCCTAATTTCTTAATAGGAATCCAACTTCATTTCAATGGAGCAAAGTACAATGTGTCAACAGTATACAGTAAAATAAATAAAAAGTTGAATAAGAAGGTTTGATTAAGAATGATAGCATGAAATCAAATGAGGAGATATATATATAAAAGCCTTAAAGACCCAAGGCATGAGAAGAAAAAACATTGACAAATGACAAGATACATTATGAACACCTTGAAGTTTTAAACCGAAGGAAATGTATTTAATGAATGTTGTACAAGTTATACATGAATGATTGAAGGTCAAATGAGCTTTGTCACGACAAAACCAACATAGTGCGTTTGCGACCAGCATGGATCCAGACCAGCCTGCACATCCGCGCAGTCTGATCAGGATCCATGCTGTTCGCTATCAGTTTCTCTTCTTCAAATAGGGTTTGTAAGCGAACAGCATGGATCCTGATCAGACTGCGCGGATACGCAGGCTGGTCTGGATCCATGCTGGTCGCAAACCCATTATGTTGGTTTTGTCGTGACACGGCTCAAATAAAGATATACAATGTTAACAAGTTAAAATTACAATAAATTAAGTATATTTTGGTGGTCAAGCATTATGAATGCAAACGATTCTATATACCGGCAACATAATTCAGTATGACATTAAAAAAACAGTGTGCTCACTTGCTCAACTGTCAATATTTTAGCATTGTATAAAAAGAAATATTCAACATCAAGACATAATGCACATAACTATATCTTTTTTAAATTTGCTAAGTAGATTGCCATTATTCAAAATTACTTATACATGTAGCACTTGTTTAGAACAGTTCAAAATTATAAAACTGTCAACTACTAACATAAATTGTTACAAAAACTCGAAATCTATGTTAAATTTGCATAATGATCTTGCTTTAAATTTTTAACAGTGCACTGTAACTGTGAGGGATTAATATCAAAACCTTACACCATTAATACCTTACATGGACTGGTCCGTTTTTCTATCTTGACCAAACCATTTATCATTTAAAGGGAAAATTTCAAAGTAAGTACTGATTGAATAGTGAACAGTGCAGACCATGATCAGATGACATGGATGTGCAGGCTGATATAAGTCTGCACTGGTTGCATGGGTAGAAGCAGTCAGCATACTATGAATTAAGTAGGCAACAGTGCTGGGTTTGGTCAGATTGCATGAATGAGGAAGCAGCAAGTCTCTTTACTAATGACAAAAGCAGATCACTCTCACCACCTGTATTAAAGGATAAAAATAGCATCATACTTTAATAAGAACTGTTTTAAAATGGCCATGTATATTTTGTAACTAGTATTCAGACTTCTCCTGAACATAAAAATCCATACATTTTATTTCAAAGACAAGAAATTGACCACTACACTGAACACAAACAATAGAAGAAAGTTAGAAGTAAAACAATTTCATCATAATGAACTTTCACTAAACTTCTTTTAATAGGAGTTCCGCAATCCATGGAATCCTGAGGGTCATTTTGACCAGTATGGTGTAAGTTTAGCCAATTACAAGGCCAAGTCACCTTGATTTTAACAAAATTTGACCCTCCATTTTAAATCCTGAAGGTCAAATCAGGCGATAAGGAAATTTGATGGGTCAAAGAGTCATTTCAAGAGTCAAAATTTTAATTAAATCAATATGTAAAACCTGGTTACAAACAAAAGTATTTCAAATGAATTGTTTAGATATAGAATTTAATGCCCGAGACATTTCCAAATACTTTAAAATTAAAATAAAGTTGCTTCCCTCAATCATATTCACAGATTTTTTTTGTATTCCTATCAATCTATAATAACTATTATAGTCTTATTAAAATGAGGCTAAAATGTACATCCCTACATTTTTCTTGTCTGAGAAATTTACCTCAAAACTACTGTAGTATATATATTTAAGATTGACTTTTCAGACATATATTTATAAAATCAAGGACATCATAACAAAACTTAAAAACATATATTTACTGACAACAAAATATGAATAATTATTTTAAAGCTTACATTACATAAACAGTATAACATAAAATAGTTCCTGTAAGATAACAAGAGTAAAATATCTGGCATGGATAAAATGCCCGTATTCAAATCTAGATTTCATCTTCTAGAAATATACAATTCATTTTTTAGTCTAAACTTAAAAACAAGAGCATCGCATGCAATGTTAATGCTCGACTGCTAAAAAAAAGTTTTGACAAAAATTCAAAGTTTAAAAAGGGCTTAAGTCCAAAATTAAAGCTTTCAAAATTATGCCCAACTGCACCTTGTCATGATAAGCAAGTAATTTTAATTTTATATTAATAACTTTTAAAATGTTCGAATAATGGGCTACATTACTACATTAAAGTTTTTGCATCTCAACAACGACTTTCGAAGTGATTATAATAGCTGGATTTTTTCTTCAAAATAGACAAGCTAAAAAATCTATCAATTAAAGCAGCATGTCTCCCGATTCATGCAATTTTTTTTCAGTATTAAATGAAAAATAACTTTACAGTAACAGTAACTGATAAATAAATTATATCATTTCATTGAATTAACGCATTATTAACATGGTAAAAAAAATGAAAGTAATTTGTGTAACACTCTGTTGTGACTTACTATCTTTATGCTTAATGCAAAATATTATTTCTTTACAAAGCTGCCTTTGAAACACTTTGCTGGTTATATGATATTCATATTATAATATATGAGTAAGTTAAAATTTGATTTTAAATTGCATATTTCTGATTTTTTTTTTAAAAATTGGCTGAACATATAGGGGTCTTTGTGTTCAAAATGGACCATCAATACTGTATGAATACATATCTTGTATTCTCTACATTCATTAACAAGACATATATATTAAATTGTTACTGATTTCAGAAAAGAACATAACATTTTAATGTTTAAAAACTAACTTAATTATTCTGCTCATACTGACATTTTTCATTGGAGTACAAAACAGGTAAAGAAAGCAATTTTGTTACATCTTATCCTTTACTTCATAAATCAGACAAAAGATAAAATTGTTGAATCACAAATATCTTGTGTCAAATGTTTTGTTTTTATCGCAAATTCAAGTCAAAATGATGCTGCATTACTTTACCAAACCATAGCAAAAATCGCCAGAACAAAAATACATTTTTGCCATTAAAAATGTTGATTTTTCTAGCAAATGACCCCTTTTCAACACAAAGACCTCATATATTATAACAAAGGGGTCTTTCATATAACAGACAGAGTAATAAAATTTGATTTTGCAGTAACCAATACATCACTGTACTGCAGTATATTAAACAATTTCCAAGGAATGTACACATTCTATTCTAGAAGCTCATGAATTTCCAACAGCTGTGTCGGGAGGAACAATTCCATGTTGTTGTAAAGTAGTCCGTAATAACATATTCTCATTTTTAAGTTCTTCGATTTGCTGACGCAACAATTCGTTGTCGACATTGAGACGTTCAGTTTCTTTCACAGTTTCGTTCAATCTACCGTTAGCTTGACGCAGATCAGTTATATAGTCACACGCTTTTGATAAGATTCCTCCTTTACTCTGAAAATTAATCATATGAATGCTACATGAAATATAGACTTGATTGGATTAACCCATAACCTGCGGAATTTTTTAAACTAGCTTCAAGTACAGCAGGTGTCAAGGGCCATGTGGCAGCTGTTAAAAGTTGTCCCATACTACACTTCAGTGTTGTTATATTTTTCTGGTCCTTTGGGATCATTGATTCAAGCAATTTTAAGTGTTGAAAATTGAGAAACGCTCAAGTCAGTGCTAGGAGGCGTGAAGGATGTTGCACTTTTTCATTATCTGTCATATACAGACTCAATTAATTTTATGGAAATCATGATATTCAGCCAACAGTTCTGAGCCTGTAAGACTGTTCAGACAGCCTGGCTCTATCCCGGTGAGAGGCAAGTGGTTTGAAGAATATAACCTTAACCACTCAGCCACAGACACCTCTATTTGATGGCAGTATCCACTACATAACTGTACTATATTTAGTGGCAAAACATTATATAAAAACACACACTTTCCTTAGTGTTCTACACAAAAAGTACACCAATGTGTTAAGAACTTTATATCAACATTAACTGAAGAGAAATCAAATGCCATTTTTTTAATCTAAAACTTGCATGTTGACTTGTATATTAATCAAAATATAATTACCCCAAGTTGTCCAGCTTTAGATTGCTCTGCAGAACAATCAGGTACTAACTTAGACAGCTGTACAATCCAATTGTTGATTTTATCTCGCCTTCTTCTCTCAACTGAAAACAAAAACAAAACTTTTCCTAATCCAGTATTCAAACCCCAGTGTGCAATAACATGGACCATGAAAATTTGAAAATGCTTTCAAAAAGCATTTTTTATAGTTTTATATATGATGCAGTCAATTGTCACATCTTGGTAAAAAAATGTAAATAAAAATAACTTGTGCCAAAGATGGTTATTATTGATAAGGACACTTTGTTTATGTTTAGTTTTATTTACAGCATAACATCACAAGAATTTACTCAGTGTATGGACTAGGCTACCAAAGTATAGTATAATTAACTGTATTTTTTTTAAATCTATTTTCTTATGGTGGTTAGGGGGGGGGGGGGGTGAATCTTATTGGAATTGTTTCCAGACTTGTATCTCCATTTAAAAGTTTTCTTACCTTCATTATGCGTTGCCCTTCTCCTGTCGTCCCTGGATGTACGACCACCTTCTATTTTTGGCTGGAAATTCGTTCTAGGGGCAATATTTCTCTGCCCTTGTAAAACATCCTGTGGTGACATCATCACATAAAACTGCCCTGAATAAATACAAATGATACCTTAAACTGTAATAATCAACTAAACATAGTACGCAGCCATATATATTAAACTGGTAACATAAAAGTATTGGATATCATTCCATTTATTTTGGAACCTAAATAAGAAATATTTTATAAGGGTAAATTACCCTTAATTTGTTTAAACAACCATCTCTGGGTTTGGTTGGAAAAAAATGGTACATTTAAATGGGACTTGATAAAACATTATGGTTTTTCATAATATGGAATTGTTAATGATTCTTAGTACCGGTAAGGAAACATTATCTGGTGCCAGTTGTGACCTATGTGCAAATTGTGGATAATTTTCTAATGTGATAGTGCAAATAACAGGATTATCCAAGCACCTTTTGTTTACTAATTTCATAAATTTGAAACATTCTGCATTAGTACTTGTCACTGTTTAAACAATGCATATTACATATTAAAAGTAAAAAATATTGGCACAACATCTTTGAAAAAGAAAAATATTGGTACAACATTTTCAAAGTGCACAAAATTCACCAATCAATGACTTAGATGCTATGTTTTAACAAGAGCTGTCAGTAAAGCAGCGTGCTCAACTATTCCCAGTGCTATATAGTAAACAAGAGCCTGGATAATGTAGAATTTTCCAAGTTCAAAAAGGGCCATAAGTCTGTCAAAATCCTTATTGGAGTAAAAGGCCTTGAACAGTGATCTATCATAATCTCAAATAAGTGCCTGAAGTTTGAACCCATTATCTTTATTAGTTTTGGAGAAACCAACTTGCATGCAAAAACTGTACCAAAGTGTGATATCTACGCCTCGGTTAGTACAATTATAGCTCTAATTATTCTTTAAATAGTCAAGCTAAAAACCAGCTATTAGTTTTTATTTTTCTTTATATCCATGTAACACCATGCAGTAAATCAGAAATCAAGGAAAACATACATGCTCATAATCAAGACATATTTAAAGTCAAAGTCTCATCTGGTATGTAAAGAAGGATTTTAGGCTCTCATGCAGAAGAAATAGGGATATCAAATTTATCATTCCAACAATTTAAATGCATGCAAATGTTGATCAAATTGAAAAGACAAAGTTAAAATATTTTGCCACCTAAAAGCATATAACTAACTATATACATGTTAATATGAATAATATATCAACTGTTCACTTCGTTTACACTACTTTAACTTCAGATACAGACTTTCTTTTAAAATGTACATATTACACTATCATCCTAGTATGCTACTATATACCACTAATGACTGAATTTTACACTGAAATGTATTTCTTATCTATTTATCTAAAACAGCATAATAAATGGCAAAAAAATATGCAACATGCCTTGACAAATTAAAATATACCCAAACAAAAATGTCTGCCACAATAACCACCAGTCTGGTAAGGGTAACAACTAGGCAATATGTTAAAATTGTATTACAAAATTGATATTGAAAAAGTGAACTTCTTTAACAATTTTGCACAGTACAGAGTGTATCAGTGTGAATGTTATAGACTGTACATGTAGTACAAGAAAAAGAGTGGCGGAAGTGTTTTGGGGAAAGTGGGTGGGGTAAATTTTGTCACACTGACCTTGAGCATTCTCTTGTTGCCAGGCTCCTGCCGGTAGACCTGGAACATAGGTATCTCACATATATCTATTGTTATACCATCAGAAAGGCCAACCAACATTATATTTTAGTATTGACACACACTGAAAATACCCTATGTCCATGTGTGTACAACACCAAAAGACAAATGGATTGGTCAATCTGATCAATTTTTTTTTCTAAAATCACACATAAAAACACAACTTTCCCAAAACTAACTGTATATGGGTGTATAAAAATCAACATTTTAACAATGTTTTGAAGTTTCACCTCAAAATCGTTGCACTACAGAAAGTGAGATAAACAGAATTTGCAAAAGAATGATATTATAATACATTTCCATTCATTCCTATTCAACGTGCAGTTAAGAATGGAAAACAGCATAAACTTTTCCTGCATTATTTATCTATTATTTAATTTATTAAATATTACATGTTTTATCACTCTGATGCTTTGTTAATTAGCTCTTATGCCAACGGCCTAACAAAATATAAATTACTGTGTATCTGAGTTAGAACTATGCAATAACAAGACATAATGCACTCAAAGTCAACACCTACTAACTAAATGCACAATCAAAAATAATTAACATGATTGCAGGATCATTATATAAATCTGTCAATATATAACAAGTTCCTATAAATGTACCTAAATAACACCATGCAAAACTTGTAGTAAAAGTTAAACATGCAGCATTTAGCATGCTTCATATTTTCATATTATTCCAGGCCATAATTCTCTTGAATACACATGTATAGCTCAACATCCATAAAAGGTACTTGTATAACGGTTTAGCAGTCTTTATTCTTAATCTATTAAATATACATGTATACCTTAACATCCATACAGGGTACTTATGGGTTTAGCGATCTTTACTTTATTCATATCTAATGCTAACATTTTTTATGATTCAGAGCATAAGTTGAATAAAGCCAAGGTCAATTGGATTTTTAAAGATATAAAAAACAACAACATTATTTTTTAAAACAATCTAGACCACATGTTAGAGAAGGAATCTTTTATGAGAGCAAAACTTCATTTTTGGAGCATCAATAAGTCCTTAAGGGCTTATGTCTTTAAGCACTGTCAAAACAATTCAAAACTTAATTTGTTACAAAATAAACAAATTGCATACATTTTTCAATAGCACCCTTTCCAATTAGAGTACTAAGTTATCATTAATATAGATATTATATTAAGAGTATGTCCTTATTTTCTATCAATTTTACCTTTAAACAAACAAAAAAAGATCTTGTTTACTTTGGGTCATTAAATATCTTGTCAAACAGCTTAAATATTTACAGGCTGTGTCTATAACGAAAAGTCTGAAATGCAATGATTAATTACTTTGACAGTATTTAGTATTAGACACGATAATAAACCAAAATTATTTACACATGGAAGTTGTGAGCAAGTGTGAGATACATGATAGGATATCTTATGTTTATTTATATAGTGGATAATAAAATGTTCTAGAACAAAATATTACTATTCATCATTAACATTCTCTATAAATAAGTTAAAATGTTAAATTTCAGAAATTGTCAAATGTTTGTCAGAGTTTGTGTCAAATCTAGAAAAGGGTGATTCCTCAGAAAGAAAGATGCCCTTTGGCTAAAGAATTGATATTAAATATGGAAGGACGTTTTTAGAACTGTCAAGTTTTATCGTGCAAAGATATAGATAAATGTCATGCTAAATGATAATAAATCATATCTATGTTACTATTTTTAGACAAAAACAGAGTTCTATTTCAATTGGGTATTATATGTTATTATGACCTTATTGTCAAGACTAAAGGTCCTTTCAACTTTGGAAAAACTTTTTTTTTTCATGACAAAAAAAACAACATCAAGTTCTTGAAGACAGTGATTTTTAAAGTGAATACACATGTATACCACTGTGTCATCACATATTTACATGGTAAGCAATGTATCCCCTCGGATGATATTCATTACAGTCAATGAATACACTTACAGACAAGTTTGATTTGGCTAATCAACTGCTACAAATGAAACAAATACCAGTCCCAATATCAAGGCAGTATCAGTTTTTTAAGTGCATCCAAATTTTGAATTTGAAAGACTTCTTGGGAAATCCCTGTATTTATATCATATATTTCTTGAAAATTAACCATGTTTACGACAAGAAATGATCATAGAAACATCAAGTGACCAAGAGCTAAAAATAACCTTTGTGATACATAAAAATATATATAAGCCAAATTGGCCAATGGCATGTTAGTTATTCCTTGACAGAAAACGTTCAGACCTAGGAATTATAAAATTGTAAAACAGAAAAGTGCCGTACAGTCAAATGCACACAGCTTGCATGCAGAACAACTACATAGCTCAAAGAAAACATTTCAACTCAGATGTATCAATGAAATCAACTCTATTATAAACTAATCTAAGATCACCAACCCCCTTGTCCTGCCAGAGCAACGGCACCATCTGCCTGTGTGGTGACCACGTCCCCAGCCCCGCCAGCCACTGATGCCGGGAAATATGTAAACCTTGTGTCTGGTTGGGCATCACCTGTAGGGCTGCCGTTGTTAAATGGACTCTGTATCACTGCCTAGAATGTATAACAAACAAATCCTCTAACATAGAAACAGTCATATGGTGAATTTCCAGGTTTCATTTCTATGACAAATTTATTTCATGCAATAGCATGAGTATTCATTTATGTAAAAGCTACATCTTAGGCACATTCACAAGTAAGCATAACAAAACAATCTAACTTTCACTAGATACTTTTTAAACATAAAACAGTCCAAGTACCTATGGGTATCAAAAGCACATCTCTCTATAAAACAAAGTAAAATGCCTTGAATTTAAGTGGTCACCTTCTATAACATTAGCCTATAAAACATATCTATGCTTATGAATTTAAATTTTAAGGATCACACTACTTTTACATTGCTTTTCAAACAAGTCAATAAACACAAAAACAAGATAAAAGATAATTTCCAAAGTGTATGTTTTTCTAAAGATCAATTTCAAATCATTATATAAGAGACATGTAGCACCCTACATATTTGCCATTACTGTGTATTACCTGTGCACCAGCTGGGAACCCTGTGGTGGAGACAACCTGGGCTTGATGCTCTGTCCCATCCTGGGTAGCAACCTGTACCACTCTGTATGTTACCGCCCCTGAAATATAACACATTAACTTTTAATATCAAAAGTAGACAAAAGTCCTTTTGATTCTTTATGAAGCATGTGTCCTACTCTTTCTGGTTCAATATCAAAATATAATATATTCTGCACATGAAGCAGAAACTTATTCATAGACTTTGTGTTTCTGCTGATTTACTTCAAATTTATCCCCCTGGATGTCTGATCCATATAGCAACATGTTCCCATTCATAAAGAATTCCTATTTTTCCTAAACTGAGGTCAATATTAATAATTAACCAAAATTACAATAAGGCTGTTTTGTTACAGCTTACAACTCAATAAAAAACAGATTTTGCAGACCTGCTGACCCATGTCCAAAATAATGAAAAAGATCATACTAACCTTGCCCTGTATCAGCTCTAAACTGGTACTGTAAGTTAGTTGGATCTATAGTTAACTGTCCACCTTGTGTCAACCCAGACTGATCATCATCTGTACATAGAAAAATTTAACCATTGACGTATGCAAATCAGTAAAATATGGTGCCATGACTGAATGGTTCATGGATCAGACTAGTTATCTGAGGATCACTATCTGCATGGGTTCAAACCCTGTCAGGGGCAAGGCGTTGTTTCCTTGAGGAAGAAACTTCACACTCATTGCGCAGTACTGGTTGGTTCCAGGAACAATCAGCTTCTTAGACAATAAAATTAAAATAACTTCTTCATAAACCAGATTTCTTTGACAATCATAAATTATAATAATTAATATTATAAAGACTTTCAAACATCTCATATGAGACACTACTCTTAGATATAATGATAAGCAGAATAAACAGTAGTAAACAGTAAGCAGAAGAAAATGTTTCAGAACAAAATATTACTTTGCAATTTATGTAAAGTTATGATATTGATCATGCGTCATAAACTTTTCAGGCAATTTACTACTATATTTCTTTCATGCATTCTAGAATATGAAAAATTCAACATTCATCACGACGTATTTAAGCAATTCATAGTTTGAAATACGGAGACTGATTATAATATCTATATAGATTACAACACAATGTGTGGCTGAGTCATAGACATATAGGTAATACCTGCTTGTGTAATCTGTACTTCATCTGAGGCAGCAGAATCATCCTTCCCTTGGCTTAAAATTTACAAAAATTTAAAATTTGAATAAAACAATCACTCAGTGAAAAGTTACTTTGAAATAAGTAAACTTGATGGTTAAGAGGATGATTACTCTTGTAATGCCATTTGTCATCTTTAGCTCATTTCAAAATGATGACTTTGTTGGAGCTGCATGTTACTAGCATATTGAAAGACATTTTATTTTCATATTTAATATTTTGTTAAGGGGGATGCATTTTACAGGAGAGAGGCATTTATTAGATTTTATATTGTATGTAAAAACGCACATCTTATCTATGCCAAATATTTTTCAGTGACTCATCAAAGCAATCATATAACTATTGTTTTTTAAAATAACTTAATTGCTTATTGCATCACAGCAATTGTCATAGAGCTTTACTTTAGCCTATACCGTTATTGTTCTCAAACTGCATCACATGATAGTTGGGATATCCTTCACTAAGAACAGTGAATGTCAATGAAGCATGTCAAAAACAAACATTACAATGACCTGTCTGTTGTCAACCAAATAGCCAATATTATAGCCAATATTATAAGTGTTTATCATTGATTCTCCACTAAACATTCAAAATAGGCTGTAAGAAATAGTGAATAATTGACATTTGCGAATAGTTACCAAGACACCTTTTTTTGTTGGTTTAACTCATGTATAACATTGAACACATACTGGTTCTTTTAACATTTCACCAAAAAACTTGTAATATTTCCTGAAATTAAGTTACCAAGAATTCAAGATTTGTGCAAAAACAGATACGTTACCATTTTTCAAATTGCTTTCAGAGACCAGACAAAAATAATTAGCATGGATATACACGATTTAGAAATTTATTATCATTCTTTCAGCAATATAGTTCCAGTATATACTACAAAATATTATGCATTAATATCCATTTTAATAAAATCTACGTCTATGAACAGCTTGTGAACTGAAGCTGATGAAAATGTTACTTATTAATCAGACTTGTTCAATCCAAACACATGATGAACTTATAAAAGTATTTTATGCCAATAAAAATACTGATGTTCCATACTCATCTATTGACACAATGAAGCTAGGATTTACTTAACAGAATAAATTTATTCCGCTAAATGGAAACGAATATTAAATCATAGTAACGTATCTGTTTCACCGTTCTACTATGAACAAAATTATGAAAAGCCCTGAACACGTACATAGATATTCATAAAGTTTTTTAAACAACTGGCCAATAAATAATATGTCTGAACCAGTACTTTCACGTATCTGTTCAATATATGAGGGACATGTATTTCAGCTTGTAACTTTTTTCCAAATTGACTATAGAAAACAATAAAAATCGCTCACTTGGACATTTAAACTAAAACTTAATACTTAAGAGGTTTTTCTTCAACACATGTTTCAGGGGTTATTATGTAAAACCAACAGTAATATGGGACCCAAGCCTGGGGACATTACATAATGGGTTATACAGCACCTTAGCATGATAATATTTTCGTATAAATCCAACAGACTAAGTCATTAATTTGATTGCTTTACATACATGACCATGTAATGAAGCAATAGAATGCCCAAAAAGTATATTTCAACTGCAGTGCAACAAAATATACTTGAGGGACAGAATATTCTCTAATTTGCACGTTTAGTGGAGAATCAATGTTATGAATATGATACTAAGTTTAAAGTATGTATTTCTTGCACTCATATAAATATAATAATAATATATCAATCTTGATTTTGATTGGATAAAATTGTCGGATTAAGTGTTGGCTAAAACTTGTGTAGTTTTAGAATGGTGTATGTCCTTGCAGGAATATTTATACCACATACTTATTTACTAGATCACAAATTGATGGGAAGTTACAAAATAACAAATCGATGAGAATAAGGCATAATCATGCAAAAAAAATATTGACAGACTAATAGTGTTGCAGCCACTGTGGGTGACTCTGCACTTTAATTACATTGTCCTTTTCAGTGAACCAGTGCTCTTCAAATCCTCATGGTTGTTGTTTGTTGGGTATTTGAGCTGGAAACACACATTTTTCATTGCTTCAGAACTAATTCTTATCTTTTCTTATGAATTGTTAAAACTACTATCTATCTTCTATTAATGTCAAACCCCTTGCATGACATGACTCTGGACTTTAGACAAATATGAGATACAAGGGCATCTGGGAACCAGTCCCTAGCTCTTATTGAATAGACCCCATGGTTCTTTTACATGCCCAGTGTATAGCACTGATACATGCGAGGATTACCTGAATTTCTTGCCAGTACACCTCTAGGTAGGTGGGAAACACTTAAAGTGTCTCTGAAAAACCCAGAGTGTTACCCATAATTAAACCCGGGACCTCAGGACTACACAGGAGTGACAGTCACTCAGTCAGCACTAGGTCTAACGGTAGCAAGACACTTCACCCTCCAGACACTTCACCCCTCAAGACACTTCACCCCCCAAAATCAGTAAGACAGTTCACCCCTCATCCAATTTTTCTAAAATAAGCCATAAAAATGCTTTTATATCATGTGTTTATTTTTAGCTCACCTGTCACAAAGTGACAGGGTGAGCTTTTGTGATCGCTTTTCGTCCGGCGTCCGTCCGGCGTCCGTCCGTCCGTAAACTTTTGCTTTAAATGACATCTCCTCATAAACCAATGAGCCAATTTCATCCAAACTTCACAAGAATGTTCCTTTGGTGGTCACCTTTAAAAATTGTTCAAAGAATTTAATTCCATGCAGAACTCTGGTTGCCATGGCAACCGAAAGAAAAATCTTTAAATATCTTCTTTTAAACAACCCTAAGAGCTAGAGCTTAGATATTTGGCATGAAACATCTTCTAGTGAGTGTCTACCAAGTTTGTTCAAATAAAAGCCCTGGGGTCAAAATTGGTCCCGCCCCAGGGGGTCATTGATTTTCCCTATATGCATATAGTAAAAACTTAAAAAATCTTCTTTTAAAGAACCCAAAGAGCTAGAGCTAAGATATTTGGCATGAAACATCTTCTAGTGAGTGTCTACCAAGTTTGTTCAAATAAAAGCCCTGGGGTCAAAATTGGCCCCGCCCCAGGGGGTCATAGATTTTCCCTATATGCATATAGTAAAAACTTAAAAAATCTTCTTTTAAAGAACCCAAAGAGCTAGAGCTAAGATATTTGGCATTAAACATCTTCTAGTGAGTGTCTACCGAGTTTGTTCCAATAAAAGCCCTTGGGTCAAAATTGGCCCCGCCCCAGGGGGTCATTGATTTTCCCTATATGCATATAGTAAAAACATAAAAAAATCTTCTTTTAAAGAACCCAAAGAGCTAGAGCTAAGATATTTGGCATTAAACATCTTCTAGTGAGTGTCTACCAAGTTTGTTCAAATAAAAGCCCTGGGGTCAAAATTGGCCCCGCCCCAGAAGGTCATTGATTTTCCCTATATGCATATAGTAAAAAACTTTAAAAAATCTTCTTTTAAAGAACCCAAAGAGCTAGAGCTAATAATTTAGCATGAAACATGTTCTAATGGGTGTCTACCAAATTTGTTCAAATAAAAGCCCTGGGGTCAAAATTGGCCCCGCCCCGGGGGTCATTGATTTTTCTTATATGTGTATGGCAAAAACTTAAAAATCTTCTTTGAAAAAACCCATATAGCTAGAGTTTAGATATTAAGCATGAAACATCTTCCAATCAGTGTCTACAAAGTTTGTTCAAATAAAAGCCCCGGGGTCAAAATTGGCCCTGCCCCGGGGTCATTGATTTTCCTTTTTTGTGTATAGCAAAAACTTAAAAATCTTCTTTGAAAAAACCCATATAGCTAGAGTTTAGATATTAAGCATGAAACATCTTTTAGTAAATTTCTACAAAGCCCGGGGGTCAAAACTGGCCCTGCCCCAGGGGTGTCATTGTTTTTAACTATATGTGTATAGTAAAAACTTAAAAAATCTTCTTTTAAAAAACCCAATGAGCTAGAACTTAGATATTTGGCATTAAACATCTTCTAGTGAGTGTCTACCGAGTTTGTTCCAATAAAAGCCCTTGGGGCTATATACAGGTGAGCGACCTCAGGGCCATCATGGCCCTCTTGTAATTATTTTAGTATAATTTGATTTATAACTTTTTAATTAAAGGACAATTTACAGACATTTCTAAGAGTAAATATTTGTTTAGTAAATAATTCAGAAACAAATAACACATGTTATTACACATGTAATAATTTTTTTAAATCATTTACATATAACATGCAATAAAACATAACAATTTACTGTTTCTAAAAACCACATTCTTATAAATGTCCACTTTCTCCAAGAACTCCTCAGTCCTTATCACCGTATTGCCCACTGTTATACAAAGCACATCCATTATTAAGTGTTTATTGCATGTCACCTTGTTTATTCAACTTGTTCATTGGTTGTTTATTCTACAGTTATGTCATAATTGACTAGATAATTGGATTAAAAGGTATAATTGTATGAAAATGAAATAAATGAATAAATAAATAATAGAGTATGTAAAATAAATAAATAAATAATATTGTATGAAAAATAAATGAATAAACAATATTGTTTGAAAATAACTAAATGAATAATATAAATATAAAACAATATAAATGAATGAATTAATTATTTATTTATCCATTAATGTAATAAATGTAATAAATAAAAAAGAACAATTTGTATTTCCTTATATACTTAAAAAATGTTGCTAACAAATTATCAAGTTAACTTACTGGTATCACATGCTATGTGTTGCCAGTTCAGTTTGTATTCAGTTTGTGTTCAATATAGGCCCTATATCAAAGGAAAATTCACGAAAAGGTTCACACACTTTAATAGAAGGATTATGCTACAATTAGTTATATCACTTTCACTTAAATTGAAATTAGTATAAAAGATATAAAAATAAAATAAATAAAAAATAAACTTACTTACTAATAACTTTGTGATATGAGCCTTTTTAAGGGCAAAAACAACAATATATATACAGAGACATAGATAACATGTTGTTTATGTCTCTGATATATATCCATTGTCT